GAGAGAGCTATGTCTTCTCATGTGAATCAGAATAGTTTGTTACGACCGAAAGTTAATGTGAAATCAAAAGAGGATCGGGAATGTTTTTATTGCCACAAAGTTGGTCATTTAATCGCCGATTGTGGTGTTGAAACGAAAACAACCGAATTCTGTACCTAAGAGCGCTGGTTTTGTTAAACTGGTTGATTCTGTTAAGGTCTAGCACTGGAAACCTGCAGCGTGTGGAAGGCTAAATGGATTCATTGAAGTATCAGGAAATCCTAGGAGAAAACTTCATGCCGTCAGTGAGGAAGCTGAAGCTTGGGCGTTATTGGACCTTCCAACAGGACATTGATCCCAAAGCATTTCTCAAATTCCACCAAGCCTTAGTTGCAGAGGAAGTCCTGGAAGATTCTACAGTGACCGTCACAGTCACCTGACTTTAACCCCATAGAAAATCTCTGGTGGAATTTGAAGGCGGCAGTTTCAGCACATAAACCCAAGAATATTACTGAGCTGGAGGCCATTGCTCATGAGGAACGGGCTCAGATTCCTCAGAAACGCTTTCAGAAGCTGGTGTCTGGTTATACATCTCGATTACAACAGGTCATAACAGCAAAAGGGTGTTCTACTAAGTGCTAAAGATGCTTGCCATGAAGGGGTTGAAAAATTGAGACTGCAGAAGTCATTAAAAGTTGCATTTTCAGTTGAATTTCACTTTATTTTGCCAATAACCTGATTTGTAATGAACAATTCCAATTCCAATTGTCTGTGTGCGTGTGCGTGTGTGTGTGTGTGTGTGTGTATATATATATATATATATATATATATACAGTCGTGCTCAGAATAAATGTAAAAAATAAATCTGCATCGTTTATCCTTTTGATCTTTCATTCAAAAAATTGCCAAAAATCTAACTTTTCATTGAAGTAAACGAATTGAAAGTGTGGGGGGAAATCACATTATGAAATAAATGTTTTTCTCCAAAACACGTTGGCCACAATTATAGGCACCCCTAGAATTTTTTACGAGTACAATATCTCTGAAGTATATTCCAATTATTGTTTACCTTTTTTAGCACACCAGGGGCACTAGGAACATGAAATTGTCCAGCCATGACTTCTTGTTTCACAGGAGTTTAAATATGAGGAAACACAAAGGCCAAATTCCCTTAATCATCCATCACAATGAGTAAAACCAAAGAATATAGTTCTGATGTGCATCAAAAGATTTTTTAAGCATCACAAAATAGAAAGTGGCTGTAAGCTAAATAATTGAAAATCCCCATTTTGACCATCAGGGCAATAATTAAGAAGTTCCAATCAACTAAAGATGTTACGAATCTGCCAGGAAGAGGACGTGTGGTTATATTGCCTTAATGGACGGTGAGGATAAAAGTTTGAGTGGCCAAAGACTCTTCAAGGATCACCGATGGAGAATTGCAGAGATTAGTTGAGTCTTGGGGGTCAGAAAGCCTATATATATATATAAAAAAAATATATATAAAAAAAAATCAAACACCCCCTACATCCCCAAAACCCTCCTCGCTCCTCCAAAAACAAACTCCAGCATATTCAGTTGTCAGACACGACTGGAACTTCAAATGGCACCGGTTTCTGTGTTCAGTTGAAACTAAAAAAAAGAGCTTTTTGGCATCAAACATGCTAGATGGGTTTGGTGCACACAAGGATAAAAAGTACCCCATGTGTCCAATTTAATATATCGTTGGATCTTTAATGTTGTGGGCATTTTTTCTGCTGGAGGTCCTGAACTTCTTGTTTAGATACATGGCATTGTGGATTCTATCAAATATCAACAGATAAAAAATCCAAACCTGACGCCTTCTGCTAGAAATCTTATAATGGGCCTTGGTTGGATCTTCCATCAGGACAACGATCCAAAACAAACATCAAAATCAATACAAAAATTTGTTACAGAGCACAAAATGAAGCATCTGCCATGACCGTCCCAGACCCTGACCTGATGAGTGGGCTGAACTGAAGAGGAGAAGCACCACTAACATGGATCTGGGAATCTGAAGGAACTGGAGAGATGCTATATGGCGGAATGGTCTCTGATCTCTTGGTCAGGTGTTCTCCAAACTCATCAGGCATTACAGGAGAAAACAAGCCAAGACTTAACAAGCTCCATCACATTTAACTTCAACATAATGCATAAATACACCAGTAAGTTCTCATTACACTTTGTAATGGTGGTGGCCCCATTACTTTACATTTAAAATATATATGTATATATGTATGTCTGTATGTATGTATGTATGTATGTATGTATGTCTGTATGTATGTCTGTCTGTATGTATGTCTGTATGTATGTCTGTCTGTATGTCTGTCTGTATGTATGTCTGTATGTATGTCTGTATGTCTGTCTGTATGTCTGTCTGTATGTCTGTCTGTATGTCTGTCTGTATGTCTGTCTGTATGTCTGTCTGTATGTCTGTCTGTATGTCTGTATGTATGTCTGTATGTATGTCTGTATGTATGTATGTATGTATGTATGTATGTATGTATGTAGAGAGAGAGAGAGAGAGAGAGAGAGAGAGAGAGAGAGAGAGAGAGAGAGAGAGAGAGAGAGAGAGAGAGAGAGAGAGAGAGAGAGAGAGAGAGAGAGAGAGAGAGAGAGAGAGAGAGAGAGAGAGAGAGAGAGAGAGAGAGAGAGAGAGAGAGAGAGAGAGAGAGAGAGAGAGAGAGAAAGAGATTATTTAAAAAATAATTTACAAAAGCGTTGTTCTGAACTGAAGTGATATATGGAGATGGAGAGGCTCAGTCTGACAGCAACACTTGTGTGGTATAATTATGTAATTGTTCTGGAGACCCTCCGTAAGGCCATTTAAAAGCTCTTAAGGAGGTTTAAATTCTTCTCTGGAATTTTCTGTCTAAATATTGAATCTTGCTGCCAAACATATCACAGCAGATAAGTAATAAGACCTGGTAATTACTTGGAAATAATGACCATATAACAAGGAGCTAAAGCCACATGAGTGGGAGCACACAAGAGCTTTAGCTAGTGACAACACTGAAATTAGCAGTAGCCAAGCCAGATGCATCAAAACCCTTAAGGAAAGAAAACCATTAGTTATATTTGTCCTCTTACTAAGGTCTTTCTCAAAGGGGTTTGTTGTGACTGGCTTCAGGTGCTTTAGAGGAACAACACAAAGATGAGAGTCTCTGACTTATAAATCATCTCAACATTAGTCAAGTCTGGATGTCAAGCTGTAATGAGAATGATTGAGAGGTGCAAGTGGGAAACTGTCATCATCTGCTGTCCCTCATGTCGTTCCAAACCTGATTTTTATCCGAAAATAATTAACATAGATGACTATTAATCTCCAAATAGGCCAAAAAATATAATACAATCTGATTGTAATAATACAAAGATTGTATCAATCATACAATCTGGGAGCTATATTCCAAGACGTCTAAAGCTGCTAATGACAGATTTTAATTTGAGTGAACCGTTTGTTCCTTTAAAAAGAGAATTGATATTCAAAAGAGAAATAAATCTATCCTGTGATTCCCTGTCAATAGAGGGCATTGTAAGACTTTGATTATGTAAAGGGTAACAGTTAAATCTTCTTTAAAAACCTCATTGTTAAACCACATAAACAAGCAGCACGTAAACAAACTTTGAACAGTCAATCCTGTTTTTCTGCTGTGGAGTTTGAGACTTTTTCTGCCTCTCTATCCCTGGATTTACAATGAGCTCTGAACCAAAGAACTACGTTTGTTAACGAAAACAATCTGAAAACGACTGAAAAAGCAAAAACTGTATCAGTTGTGTTGCACTCGTGATATTTTACTCTTCAAATATTAAGCCAGCATGACAGACAAAACACAACTAAATGATTTAAAAACAATCAGTACTTTATTAAAATGCAGAATTAAAATGTATTAAAATCACAAAATCGAACCGGATTTAGACAAAACCACAAACAAGATCAAAACATGACCACATTACACTACACAGGGTGGATTCTGTAAAGGCCGATTCTCGCGGCACCGATAGACACTGACCAACACAGACAACCACCAGATTACAGCAAGTCACATTCTCAGACATTCCACGACCCGACAAGCGCCGACTCAGCATGTTCAATCGGCGAAGTGTCGGTTGGTTGCAGTGTGAATTGGCCTTAAAGGATTAGTTCACTTTAAAAAAAAAAATTTTGCTGATAATTTACTCACCCCCATGTCATCCAAGATGTCCATGTCAGTCAAAAAGAAATTAAGGTTTTTGATGAAAACATTCCAGGATTTTTCTCCATATAATGCACTTTACTGGGCACCAAACGGTTCAAGGTCCAAAAGACAGTTTCAGTGCAAACTGCAAACTGTTCAAATGGCTTTAAATGACACCAGACGATGAGTAAGGGTCTTATCAAGCGAAACGATCGCTCATTTAAAAAAGAAATAACAAAGTTTACGTTTTATAAGCTCAAATGCTCGCCTTGCTCTGTTCTGTGTGACTCTCCTGTTCGAACTCGTTCATCAAAATGAACGAATCTTTTTCCGAGTGTATTCGTTCATTTCGTTCGTTAAATGAACCAAATGACTCGAAAAAAGATTTGTTCATTTTGATGAACGAGTTCGAACAGGAGAGTCACGAACGTGCATCACAGAACAGAGCAAGGCGAGCATTTGACATTATTAAACTTAAACTTTGTTATTTATTTTAGAAATGAGTGATCATTTCGCTTGATAAGACCATTATTCATCGTCTGGAATCGTTTAAAGCCATTTGAACAGTTTGCAGTTTGCACTGAAACTGTCTTTTGGACCTTGAACCGTTTGGTGCCCAGCAAAGTGCATTATATGGAGAAAAATCCTGGAATGTTTTCATCAAAAACCTTAATTTCTTTTCGACTGAAGAAAGAAAAACATGGACATCTTGGATGACATGGGGGTGAGTAAATTATCAGCAAAAGTTTTTTTTAAAGTGAACTAAGCCTTTAATAATGCAATTTTTTAAATCTTGTTAGCAGTCTGTGTACTTAAACCTGCAATAACGACATCATAACATTAAAAAAAACAAGTAAAAAAAATTGAAGTTCCCAAAAAACAACAACAGGTCTCTAGAGTTTCCCGGCCTCTTTGAACTTGAGGAGCAGTCCATCATCGGCCCGCAGTGGGAACGCCAGGCTACGGTTGTGATAGTAACTGGAATCTGCCTGCAAGTTCTGAATGACATCGGAAAGCAGGTGGGCTCTTTCCACTCCACTTCCTGGAGCGCTGTACTCCAGCGAGGTGAAATGGACGTGGAGGTGATAGTACGACGGTTGATAGTGGAAATAAACGCGCAGTTTGCTCGGAGGGACGCCGTACTGCCGCTGAATGGTGTCCTGTGGACACAGACAAGACTTGAATTTCAATTTGACGTACGCAGCCGTGCTACACCTCACAAATGCACTTGGAAAAATCTGCCGTTGTATGGTGTTGATATGTTATTTTGGGGGATTTTGAGATTGTGCTTTTGTGATATGTTGCAGGCTGGAATCAAACTGTTATCTTCCACAGGATCACCACAGATCAACATCAGTAGTTTTTTTTTTTTTAAAGAAATAAATACTTTTATTCTGAAAGGAAGCCTTACATTGAATAAAACTGACAGTGAATCATTTCACAATACTTGTTTTTTCTGCATTTTTGATCACATAAATGCCATCTTGGTGACCATAAAAGGCTTACCGACCCCGAACTATGTGGTAACCACTGCGCCATACTTTTAAAAAGCAAGTACACATTTACATTTAATCAATTAGCAGACGCTTCTGTCCAGAACGACTTACAAATGAGAACAATAGAAGCAATCTAATCAACAAGAGGCAACAGAATGCAAGTCCTGTGCCCATTGAAATGTTGTTGGGTTTTTTTAAATGGGACTACATGTTCAGATTAACAGTGACATCTAGTGGACAACAGAATAACAGTTCCACTTTCTCCATTGTAAACGAAAATAATTTGTCGATGAATTTGACAGATGAATCTATAGCTCACCTCTCCTTTACTGCGAATGTTTGTGAGTAATGGCAGGTGCTCTGATGTAAGATCCCTCAAACTTTTAACATCCCTCCGGTGGACGATGGCAATCAAATACAGGTCTTGTAGCTGGAGAGTTAAGGAAACAATCATTGATTTTCACTGGCCTTTTATTAAAGGAGTCTCAAATATTCTGACACAGATTCATCGCAAATTCACCTGCTTTTGATCCCACTTGAAATCGGGCAACAAAACAAATCCAGTAACAGGATCCGGGTCCTCGAAAACAATCCGATCAGCCTCAGCTTTCTTCTCTAATATATTGTGTACCCACTGAAATGAAAACGAAACATGGGCAGTGCGGTTATAAGCTGTATGTATTTATATATATATATAAGGAATAAGAGTGAAATGAAGGGTCAGAGGTCACTGAAGCCTCACCTGCACACTGAAGCTCTGGCTGTTGATGTACGGTAGGGTGACTGTACGATAATCCTCCCCTGATTCTTCAACTAGAAAAACCTCCTGATGTAAATACTTCTTAACATGCTTCTCTGTCGCAGGGCAAATCACTGTCGTTTTGATTTCTGGCACAAAAAAAATTTAACGGTCATAAATCAACCTTCAAATGGACTTTTGGTTTAACTCATGATGGTGTGGATTTTGTACATTGCATGTAATAGAGTCTTGGACTTTCAACAAGCAGTCATGCAAGTTTTTCAATAATTAAATTGCAAATTGAAGAAACTTGTCGAGAAGGTGATGGCAGCAGTGCTGGGGACAGTGATTATTTGTTACATCGACAGGTAAAAGTGTAATGTATTATAGAGGGGATGTTAAAGAAGTTCTTGCAAATTTTTTTTTAAATTATTTATATAATGAATAATGAAAAGCTACACACTCCATCAATTAGGGTTAGAAACATAACACAACATGCTAGAAACATAATAATCACTGCAATAATGATTCAATCATAGACTCTTAAGTTTGCCTATTTAAATCCAAACAAATACTTCTTTTTTCATTGGGCCAGACAGTCTATAAACACACACGACTGATCACAATTTGGGGGTCAGTAAGATTTCTTTTTATTCCTTTTATTCAGCAAGGATGCATTCAATTGATCAAAACTGCCAGTAAATACATGTATAATAATGTTAAAAAAAGATTTCTATTTCAAACAAATGCTGTTCTTTTGCCGTTTCTTTCAACTTCCTATTTATCAAAGAATCTTGGGAAAAAAATCGATCACGGTTTCCACACAAAATAAAGTTTGTTTTCAACATTGATTATAATAATGAATGTTTCTGGAGCAGCAAATCAGCATATTAGAATGCTTTCTGAAGGACCATGTCACATGACACTGAAGACTGGAGTAATGATTCTGAAAATTCAGCTTTATTCTGGAATGCCCATGCCTAAACAATCTGGTCCCATCGGTTTGAGATATGATAAAACTTCTTCAAACATTGGGGTTGATTTCATGAAGTTTGTTCATAGTATATAAATCCCATTCTGTTTGCCATTTGTTATTAATATATGGACAAACAGAGGCTGGTGAAAACATGTGATCCTACCATTCAGGTGTGCTGGTGCCTGCAGCTGGTATGTGCTGTACACGTCATTCTTCATCTCCAGCTGGAGCTGACTGCTCTTCAGTAACTCAGACAGCGTGTCCTGTCTGATGGGAGTTTTCTCCAGGATCACAACAGCATCCTGATCCTTCACCTAGGAAACACAACACATGTCAAGGATTTCAAGTCATTTAAACATGCATTCCTTTTAAACTAACTAGTGAACAAGCTAGCAGGTTATTTGCAATTAGCAATGTTCCTCGTTATACTAGTCACTAGTCAGAGTTTTAAATGAACTCTAGCAATCATTCTGACCGGTTAGATATAACACTTATAATAAAGTTATCAATCCATAAAATATAAATGTTAGGACTGAGCATTTGGCTTAGCGTTTATAAATAACTTACGTTCTAGCATTTAACAAATAACTACTTGAAAAGTTGCAATAGATACTAGTACCTTAGAAATAAGTACCCAGTAACGTTACGAATAAATCAGTAATTAGTAACAGATAAATAAATGATTAGTTTTGATTTCTGATGGTAGTTAGTTATTTCCCAGCGTGTTTTCTTGTCTCTCTCCTGCACACGCACCTTCCCATGAATGAAGATGTTCTTCTCCCGCGCACATTCACGCAGAATGCGGGTGATTTCAAAGTCCGAGACCGGGCTGTCGGGTGATAGCTCTCCCGCGTCTCTGCGCTCATTGTTCGCGTCTGTTTTAGGTCTTTTTGCAGCTCCGGCGTTCTCGCTTTCCGCCATGATTAACCCGCTGGAAATCAACCAATCAAGATTCACTGCGGGAAACACACGGAAAAAATAACCCTCTGCGCATGTCTCACCGACCGCATCCTGATTGGTTAGCATGGACGTGCCTAGGCATGTAAACAGTCTCTGATTGGCTGACCTTGTGAGACACGTGCTGCTGAATTTTTACATCTTTTGTAACATCAAGAAAGCTGTTACAAAACGCCAGCGAGACCTCACCTCTTTTACTGTCTATGCACGTAACCTGTAAGTACTGATGTTTTTTTATAGGTTCAAATTAGCTATTGAGTATTTAGTTTAGTTATACTGCACAATTGACTCAGAATGTATTTGATTGCAGAGACTTTAAACGCAACCGGAGGAAAGAAAATGCTTGTTGCAAAATAGTAATACTCTGTGTACTGGCAAAGTTTTAAATCAGATCGATGGCATAATAATAATATTAACAACAACAATAATAGTAGTAGTAATACTAATGATATCAACTAAATGAGGTAGCCTACATTAGAGTCAGAAATTCATTTCATTGTGTCTAAATCTACATTTTGATTTATAATAAGCTATTTGACTATTGCAGTAGGCTACTACATACCGTTTCCACTCAAAAATTTAGCAGCACAATTTTAAACTGATAATAATAATAAATGTTTCTTGAGCAAATCAGCATATTAGAATGATTTCTGAAGGATTATGTGACACTGAAGACTGGAGTAATGATGCTGAAAATTCATCTTTACCATCACATGAATAATAAATTACTTTTATATGTGTATATTTGAAACGAGATGTATTGTAAAATGGGATATACAAATAAGCGTGAATGGAATTTAAAAATATAGTACAATTGAAAGCGCAACTATACAAGACGTTGCGGTACTCAATATTCAACTAATGAAATACCATTAACAATATTAATATACAGTTGAAATCTCATTTTACGTGAATTATGTTTTCAATAGAAAATGGCAGTTCAGACAAAAAGTGTAATGAGCTCAAAGTGAGAGGCAGAAATGAAAGATACTGGTTTGAGGTAGACATGGATTTGATAGTTTTTATATATATATATTTTATATAAAAAGTTAAGTTCCTTTTAAACCTCTTAATTTTTTTTTTTAAATAAACAAAAAAATAGAAAAAGGGGAAATTAACAAAATATCAAGCAAAAAATACAAAACAGAAATTATTATTATGAAAATATTTCTATTGAAGTCCATTTTAAAACCAACATTATATAAAACACATTTGTGTAAATGGACTTTTGTGTAAAAAAAACTATTTGTACCAGTTTTTCCAGTGTCCTCTTGACTACCTGTGTGGAGGTCTGTGCGTGCCGAACGCGACCATGAGCCAAAACTCCGTTCACTGGTTCCGCAAAGGACTGCGTTTACATGATAACCCTGCTCTGATCGCTGCCCTGAAAGACTGTAGACACATCTACCCCCTGTTCCTGCTGGACCCCTGGTACTCCACTAACACTCACATCGGCATCAATCGATGGAGATTTCTGATGGAAGCTCTCAAAGACCTGGACTCCAGTCTGAAGAAACTCAACTCCAGGTAGGGAAGAAAAAAAAACTATTCTAAGGAAAACTAAAGATGGGGTGGAGGATCAAATGTGGACAGATGTTTTTCTCAAGCATGTTTTGTGTAATTTCTTGTACCGCTAGGCTGTTTGTTGTCAGTGGGCCGCCCACAGAGGTCCTTCCAAAGCTCTTTGAGAAATGGAAGATCACTCGGTTGACTTTTGAGGTTGATACGGAGCCGTACAGTCAGAGCAGAGATAAGGAAGTCATGAAGTTGGCCAAGGCATATGGCGTGGAAGTTATTCCAAAGATTTCTCACACTCTCCACAACATTGACAGGTAAAGCGTCATAATGTGTAAATCATATTTTGATAAAGATTTGCATAGAAACACTCACCTGCTTTTTCATACAGAATTATCGACGAGAACAACGGCAAGACTCCCCTGACTTACGTTCGCTTCCAGAGTGTGCTGAAAGCCATCGGACCCCCTAAAAAACCTGTTCCTGCTCCAACCAAAGAGGACATGAAAGGTATCCGCCCCGGACATCATACTGAATGAGATTGGATTGTTGCTGGTTTTCTCTCCTTCATTATGCCTCTTTCTCTGGAAGGTGTGTCCACTCCATTTTCTGAGGACCATGAAGAGAAGTTTGGAATTCCAACGCTTGAAGATCTTGGATTGGATACATCATCCTCAGGACCAGATCTGTTCCCGGGGGGTGAACAGGAAGCTCTGCGCAGGCTGGAGGAGCACATGCAGAGAATGGTACATGCCCTAACACCTTTCAGTGCATTTTAATAGCATAAATATATTGCTGCGTCCAAGTAGGTACTATATTTGAAACTTCATTTACTTCACAACCGTTTAAAAGTATGTTCTATGTAGTGCGAATATGGGGTAGTATGAATGAAATTCAGATGTACTACATCTGTCATGTTGTTACTGTCATGTGAGCTACCAGGGTCAGTTGTGTCGCTTCACTTCCATTCATAAATCCTCTCCCTTGGCCTCATGGGATAGTAAAGTGTCTAGCGAATGCGTACTTCAGAATCTCGGCCGAAGTAGTATGTCATCATTATTCAAATACGATATATTCGGACATATTACTCCTTTGTTTTTTTTTACTGCTACTGTTTTTCACATACTATATAGTAGGGAAGTATTCGATTTCGGACGCAGACTATGAACCTTATAAAAGTCAGACATATATATAAAAAAAAAAATTTACCACCAAAATGTAAATATGACCTTAAATAAATCAACCTACAACATTCAATATTTGAATATTAAATGCAAAAGCCTCTAAGTCCATCTAAAGTTTTTGTTTAATATTAAAGCTGCCGTCGGCAACATTTTTTTGATCATATTCAGTGAAATCGACACTATAATCTGACAGAACAACATAAATAAAGTGGTTTTAGAAAAAAACCCGAGCTTCTAACTCCACCTGGAGCGTGTTATTTGTTTTGCAAAAATCCACAGCTCCCGGTTTATCATGTCCAATCAGCGCAGGGGGGTGTGAGATCTGACTGTCAATCACAGATCGGGCACACGCCAACCCTCGCGCACGTTACAATCACATGCACATGCCTGAAGTTCGTGGAAGTTCGCGCAGTAACGAAGAGTGATGGCGGAAAATCAAGTAAGCTCATTTAGAGTATAAATGACGTTAGCAATTGCAATCTATCGGTAGATTAGCCAGGACAGCATACCTCCAAATACTCCATGGTGTTGATGGATGCTGATGAGACGGGCGCGTTCCAGGGCTCTCAAGTTTTGAAGACAGGTAAGAGTGACACCCAGCCGACGGGGGGGTTGGATACATTTTTGTCATTGGTTGTTGCGTTAAATCTTACCCAGATACAATAGTGCTATTTTCTGATTGGCTATTGTGTAGCTCGACGAACAACACCAGAGGAAACACGCTTGATTCATGCCGGTTCCACAGTGAGAGCGGCGCGGCCAGAGTTTTGGGCGCTGCGGCATATTAAATATATTTCAAATAGTTTTTCAGCGTGAGAAATACAATGTGTGGCGGGAGAGAGTGACAAAAGACCGAAATGAGTGACTGTCACGCTCAATGCGTGACACTTGAGAGTCCTGGCGTTCACTGAAAATCTGGTGCACACGCACTGACGAGCATGAACTGGGTGGGAGGGTATCCGTTGATAGTGGGGGAGGGGCATGAGAGTTGTAAACATTCAAAATTTTCCTAAATCCACTCAATCTGCCAGACTTGCCGACTGGAGCTTTAACATATTTATCAGGCTCCTATGTAAAGGTTTCTACCCAAGTACCGGCATTTCTGAATAAGGCGAGACTGGGATTTAGTGAGTTTGAAGTGAAAGTATTTGATGAGCGTATACTATATGCGGAGAGCATTCACTCAATATTATTATCTCTTTTTTGACAGAGGTGGCTTATAGAGGCTTTTGTATCGGAGGTCTTCATATACATATATATATATATATACACTCACCGGCCACTTTATTAGGTACCCGATGCTAGTAACGGGTTGGACCCCCTTTTGCCTTCAGAACTGCCTCAATTCTTCGTGGCATAGATTCAACAAGGTGCTGGAAGCATTCCTCAGGGAGTTTGGTCCATATTGACATGATGGCATCACACAGTTGCCGCAGATTTGTCGGCTGCACATCCATGATGCGAATCTCCCGTTCCACCACATCCCAAAGATGCTCTATTGGGTTGAGATCTGGTGACTGTGGAGGCCATTTTAGTACAGTGAACTCATTGTCATGTTCAAGAAACCAATTTGAAATGATTAGAGCTTTGTGACATGGTGGAAGTAGCCATCAGAGGATGGGTACATGGTGGCCATAAAGGGATGGACATGGTCAGAAACAATGCTCAGGTAGGCCGTGGCATTTAAACGATGCCCAATTGGCACTAAGGGGCCTAAAGTGTGCCAGGAAAACATCCCCCACACCATTACACCACCACCACCAGCCTGCACAGTGGTAACAAGGCATGATGGTTCCATGTTCTCATTCTGTTTACGCCAAATTCTGACTCTAACATCTGAATGTCTCAACAGAAATCGAGACTCATCAGACCAGGCAACATTTTTCCAGTCTTCAACTGTTCAATTTTGGTGAGCTCTTGCAAATTGTAGCCTCTTTTTCCTATTTGTAGTGGAGATGAGTGGTACCCGGTGGAGTCTTCTGCTGTTGTAGCCCATCCGCCTCAAGGTTGTGCGTGTTGTGGCTTCACAAATGCTTTGCTGCATACCTCGGTTGTAACGAGTGGTTATTTCAGTCACTGTTGCCCTTCTATCAGCTCGAACCAGTCTGGCCATTCTCCTCTGACCTCTGGCATCAACAAGGCATTTCCGCCCACAGAACTGCTGCTCACTGGATGTTTTTTCTTTTTCGGACCATTCTCTGTAAACCCTAGAGATGGTTGTGCGTGAAAATCCCAGTAGATTAGCAGTTTCTGAAATACTCAGACCAGCCCTTCTGGCACCAACAATCATGCCACGTTCAAAGTCACTCAAATCACCTTTCTTCCCCATACTGATGCTCGGTTTGAACTGCAGGAGATTGTCTTGACCATGTCTACATGCCTAAATGCACTGAGTTGCCGCCATGTGATTGGCTGCTTAGAAATTAAGTGTTAACAAGCAGTTGGACAGGTGTACCTAATAAAGTGGCCGGTGAGTGTATATATATGTGTGTGTGTGTGTGTATAATATACATACTGTATATAAATATTTGAAAACAATGGTATAAAAACTTTTTATAGTGGAAATAAATAAGATTTAATATTAATGTTTTAATTGTTAGAATAGGCTTCATAGATAAAAATGCATATACATATTAGTTCCCACTTTAAATATCTTAACTAAAAAATGAAATATAATTTGACTATTTAATTGAATGATTAAAGGTCATTTTAATTGTCATTTTAATTGTGGCGATCAAAATACATCATGAAATGCAATACAATGATTCCAATAAATATACGTCTAACCTCATGCTGTATCATATTTTATACAAATATTTTCAATCAATACAATTAAATCTTAAGCTTTAATCAAGCAAAACAATCAATATATAACAACATCATCTTGCCAAATGTTTTTTTTTGTTGTCTTTTTGCAGGGGTGGGTGTGCAAGTTTGAAAAACCACAGACGTCCCCCAACGCCTTGATCCCCAGCACCACCGTCCTGAGCCCCTATGTCCGGTTCGGCTGCCTGTCTGCGCGCACCTTCTGGTGGAGGCTCTCAGACGTGTACAGAGGGGTACGTCAGGTGTCTCACGCATGACCTGAGCCGCTAGCAGTTGTTTAACAGTTCAAGAGTGTGATGTGTCTCCTGCAGAAGAAGCACTCTGAACCTCCGGTTTCCCTGCATGGCCAGCTGCTGTGGAGAGAGTTTTTCTACACGACTGCCGTCGGGATCCCAAACTTCAACAGAATGGAAGGAAACCCTCACTGTGTGCAGGTGGACTGGGAAAACAATCCTGAGCACCTCGCTGCATGGAGGGAGGTAAAGCGAAGCTGTTGTGCTTTTTTGATTGTATTGAAATGTATTTATTGTACTAAAATGTATTATTGTAATGTATTAAAAACTCAATGATATAGTGATGCGCCAGTATTTTAGCAAGGGACGAAATCACTGACGGAAACGGCGCGTTTTGACTGTCAGTGTCTATTTCATGCACAGTCACACAGTGTGGATACGCTACAACAGGTAAACATGTCAGCTGACATGTTTGGGTTGACAAAATCAATTTGTTGTTTTTAATCGATTTCATTTTGATGGATTGTATTCAGTTGATATGTGAACAAATCTTTAATAAACATTACCATCCAATAATTGCAATGAGCTTTGTACTATAAAAGTAGCAGCTTGTTTGCTAGAAAGAAGCTCTAAAGATATTTTGCTAACGATATTCACTATATTACATTTGTCATTCTATTTTTACTTAATCTGTTTGTGATTAGTCTTGACAGATTAATTCAAACATACATTAAACAATCATGAAAACAAGTCCGAAACTGTTTAAACTATTCAACAAAGAATTAATGTATCATTAAAAAGCTTATATTAAAACTGCCTTATGAGCGATAACAAATTTGATATAGAGCTCTGATTTTATTTGAATGTTGATCTGATTAATTAATTGATTATTAATTAAATATATGGCTTCTGTTTTAAGATAAATAGAAAAAATCATTTCAGTTTTGGTTACAGAAGACGTGTATGTGTGATTTCAGGCCCGGACCGGTTTCCCGTTCATTGATGCCATCATGACACAGTTACGTCAGGAGGGCTGGATCCATCATCTGGCCCGGCATGCGGTCGCCTGTTTCCTGACCCGAGGAGACTTGTGGATAAGCTGGGAGGAGGGCCAAAAGGTTTGAGGACCAGCTATAGTATAGAACAGCACAGCTAGATGAGACATATAATCATTAACCTGCTGTGTTTCTGCTCACTGTCATCCGAAGGTGTTTGAGGAGTTGCTGCTGGATGCTGATTGGTCGTTAAATGCAGGAAACTGGCAGTGGCTCTCTGCCAGCGCGTTCTTCCATCAGTACTTCAGGGTTTACTCTCCCATCGCCTTTGGCAAGAAAACAGACAAAAATGGGGATTACATCAAGTTAGTTTCTTTTTTACATTCTGTTCTGCTTTAAAAGTATCTGTGAAACAACTACTTACTAAATAATAACTCAACTCTCTTCACATGTCTACCAGGAAATACCTTCCGCTGCTGAAGAAATTCCCTGCTGAGTACATATATGAACCCTGGAAAGCTCCTCGGAGCATTCAGGAGAGAGCAGGGTGCATTGTGGGAAAAGATTACCCTCGTCCTATTGTGGAGCATGAAGTTGTCCATAAAAAGAATATTCAGAGAATGAAAGCAGCTTATGCAAAGCGCTCTCCAGAGGACAAACCCATCACTAAAGGTAATTATTTAGACCTAAAATATTGATATTATTCACAATTATAAACATATATTATCTTCTGATGAGTTTCTTAACTCAAACAGACATTTTGAGTCTGAGTTTGATTCTTGTTTTCTCTGTCCAGGTGTAAAACGCAAAGCGACACCTATCATTGAGATGCTTGAGAAGAAGGCAAAGAGATAAAGCTGGACTCTCTCATCTTGAATATTGATATACTGTGTTCCTCTATGGGTCAATTATGGTTCTTTATACCGTTTATAACTTTGATACATATGTGATGCAAAATTTTAAAAGATTGTTTAGCTGTCATGCTTCTTACACTAAAGAAACATGTTCATTTTTGCATGCTATAAATGTGCACTTTAAATGCTTAAAGAGTGTATATATTCTTTTAAATTCTGTATTAATTTCTCATATATACATACACATATATACACTTTAAAGTAAAGCAGAAAATGCCATTTATATATATGTGTGTGTGTATATATATATATATATTCAGATTTTTTTTTTACAAAATAAAATAAAATTATGCTACAATAAAAACAGCACATTTTCTTCAGCATTCTTCCACAATATTCACTTGTATTCACATCCATATTAACAGACATTTAAAAATATACAGACTTATAAAATTCAGTCCATGAAGGCCGGTTTACATTAAGGACAAACTTTTAAAGTTTATGATTATTTTTGGTATTCATTTCTCAAACAGTGTGAATAAGACAAATATGAAAAAATATGATATTTCATGATCTATGTCATATGCATATTTAAATATGCAATTACAAAATAACAAATGAATTCCCTGATCTCTACCATTGAGTCATTTCAAATATTTCTTGAACAGTAAGTTTTGTTGAAACCACAGCCGCCTTTATAACTCTCCTCGTTAATGTCCTAATAATTTGAGTTTTCTTACAATGTTCCATTACCAAACTGAACTCATCCTCCTGAAAAATCGATTCCATTGATCCGTTGAGAGTTCTGTCTGAACCATGATGTGCTTCTTGCAACGTTCATGTTAAGTGGCTCCATCCTGAGGACAGATACTCTATGTTTTTGTGCTCTTCAGTCTTCACACAATGTTGCTCTCCAGTATGGGCTCCCGCAGGAAGATCCGTTTAAGGTCAAAAGCACTGAGGTTGACGGTCTTATAGCCCCCGTCCAGAATAAGCTCAGCCACGGCGAGTCCGACCGCAGGAGACTGCTGTAGTCCGTGACCGCTGAAGCCCGTGGCAAAGTACATGTTGTGCACTAGAGGGTGCAGTCCTACAAGGCCATTCTGGTCAAAGGTGTTGTAGTCGTAAAATCCAGCCCACGCGCCTGAAACCTGACAGATATAAAGCAAAGTGCTTAATTTGGAAAAAAAACGAAGCGGTAGAATTTACCAACACACAGTTCTAAGCCATACACTGCACTTTACCATCTTAAAAGCATCAGAAACTGCTAAATTAGTCCCGAGACAAAGAAAGCTGAAGAAAACTTTCCCTTCACGAAGCGGATAACATGAAAAACAATTCTATATTACGACTTTCACCTTCAGTTGTTCAAATGCAGGAATACGATTGGCCAGACGATGCCAGACCTTCTCTTGAAAAAACTCGTGGTCCACATCAAGGTTACTGATATCTGGTTCTTCTGTCTGCAAAAGGCAGAAATAATATATGAATGAATGAACGAACGAATGCATGCAGACTTTGAAACTCATACTTTTGAGTTCAGATCAAAACATGCCTATACCTCCTCTGGTGACATTCCCGTGATGTAATTTCCTCCCAGTCCCTCTCGCCTACAGTAAACCCCTGAATAGTCGATCAGAAATGGAGTATCCAACCCTGGTCCATCGGGGCAATGCACCACATAAACAAACCTGTGAGAGATACCAATGATGCAGTTAGTGAGACTCCACAATTATATCATTAATGCCATTTTAATTGTCTGGAGAATGGATCGATGAATGGAGTCAATTAATCAATTACTTAGAGGAGCATTTCACCCGTGGGAACATTCATCTTTATTGAAAGTGGGTCATATATGTAGTCGAAATATAATACAATTTTCGAATTTGGTGCCTTCTTGACCGAGTAAAGACAGAAAGTAACTTTAGGGCGGATTTGTACTGAAAACCACAACTCCCACAATGCACCACATTGCACAGCTCCGCAAGCCACTCCTACTAATCCAGAACAATGCTGAGGAGGTATCCGCCTATCAGATTCAGAGAAAGCACTCTCCCGTCTACAAGGCTGGGTGCCGCCAGAGTTTGAAATTCATTTCACAGAAAAAAAATCTAGTTTGTTGCCGAAATCATTATTGTCATAATCATAATCATTCAAATCATAATCATTACTCCTCGTTTCGATTTATGTTGAATGTTCAGTCTGAACATTGTAATGCAATTTGGATTTGCAAAATAAGAATAAAAATATGTAGGCATGACCATTATTTTGTTATCTATTATCATGTAATTCCACTGATGGAATGTTGGTCGTCCAAATTTATCTAACATACACGTGGAATAAAACACTGATAAGGAAAACAACGTAAAATGTGAACCATTTATTTCAATAATGATATCAACAAAAATAATTATGATAACAATAAAAGTTCAACAGTACAATAGTAACAACAATAGTTCCTCCTGAGCTTCCTCAACTTACTGGTGCCCGCAGTGCTGGCAATCTGGAGCTGGATATTTCAGTCGGATTGCCGTCACGAGCGGGTAGAACGCGAGACCGTGACCTGCCTGTCACGGACGAGGAGCCCGCACTGGCTCGAGTTGAGGCGGACTGGTCATGTCGTTCTACCCGCTCGTGTTGGCAATCTGTTCCACCCACTGATCTGTAATAGGTCTGTAGCGTGAGTGGGCCCCTCCCCCTGAATAAATGATGAGCTACTGTTTGTAGTCTCTACACTTTTCAATGAAATGTGACTTCCTGCTTATTATGACGCAAAATTACGATTTTTACGTCATAATAAGCAGGAAGTAAAACACTTAAATCCTTATTTCTCCCATCTCAGGGAAAAATAAAGTAAAAATCCACGATCATTATAATATATGACTTGGTTTCTAACAATACAAAGCTTAATGCAAATTGGTGAAGTGTCCCTTTAAATCGTTTAATTAATTTATATATTAAATAGTTTTATATCTTTTTTTTCAAAAGCTATTTTACAATATTTAGCACTGTTCATTTATTAAAATTACATATTTAATTAATATAATATGATCTAAAATCTTTTTTTTTCAACAGTTATTTTGGAAAATTTAGCACTGCTCATTAATGTATATTACAATTAAATAATATTTATTTTTATTGAATACTAATGATAAAACATATTAATACAATATAATATAATTAGTGCTGTCAAATCGTGATTAATCGCATTTAACATAAATGTTTTTGTTTATGTATTTATATGATTCCATATATATACAGTTGTGGTCAGAATTAATGGCACCCCTGGTAAATATGATAAAAAATGGCTGTAAAACATATATCTGCATTGTTTATCCTTTTGATCTTTGATCAACATTTATTTCATAATGTGATTTCCCCCCCACTTTCAATTCTTTTACTTCAATGAAAGGTTAGATTTTTGCTAATTTTTTTAATGAAAAATCTAAATGATAAACAATACAGCCATTTTTTATCATATTTACCAGGGGTGCCATTAATTCTGACCACAACTGTGTGTGTGTGTGTGTGTGTGTGTGTGTGTTTATAGTGTACACGCACCCATATGTTATGCATATATATATATATATATAATTATTAATATAATATATCTTTCAACAGTTATTTTAAAATATTTAGCACTGCTCATTCAGTTAAATTACAATTAAATATTTTTTTAGTGTGTGAAAAATGTTATTTAATTAATTATAATATTTAAATAATAATATAATATAAAAATATTCTTTATTTTAGAGTGTATGCCACTGCTTATTCGTCCAAGTAGGTAAGAAACCACTGCAAATTACCATATACAAATTTGAACAAACATGAGTCTTAACCTCTTTCTGGGCTCCACAGGAAACGGAATGCCAGATATGGATTCTTTCGGGCCTAATCCGATGCCTAGCATGGCGGCGATCTTCCCTGAGTTTGCACCTGCTGCATTTACCACAATGGCACTCTCCACGGGCTGATACTCCAGACTGTTGGGCATCTGCACCTAAAACGACATCACTTCTATCTGTAATGCTATCAGTGCACTTCAACTTTAGAGCATCTATTTATAGACGATGAAAACGAGTGTCAAAACAGTGTGTTAAACAGCTGGCGGGTTCTGAGATGTAGCATAAAAACGTACATTGACATATTTGATCCTTTTGACATCAACAAAGTCTCCATCTGCGATTTCTGCCACATTTGAAGAGCATCTAAAACCTGAAAATCACATTCAAAAGAATCACCACAAATTTTTAAAAGTACTTTTTTTTTTTTTACAAGCAAACCTCTAAATTAAAAAAATAGCAAATGTAAGAAATCCTGCAGTATTCTTTTGACAAAAATTGTAATTGTGAATCCTGACCTGTGACCTCTCCGAAGCACTGATAGACTCCCATAGACACAGCCTTGCGTCTGAGAGCGTTAAGAAGAGACCAGGGGTCAAACCAGCCCTCGTTCTCTAGTCCTTGGTAAGGAAAATATATACGTTACTCAGTAATGAAGCTCACATGTGAGATGTATCAAAGATTGGAAAACATTCACCAACCAAGGGAAGCCAGAGCGACACCCTCTGTGTTTATCCAGGGGAATCGCTCCTTCAGCTGGGACGGTGACAGGAGGGCGACCTTCGCACCAGCGTGTCTACGAATGAAATCTTAGTTTTATTCATCTTTAACTTTGTATTGTGAGTCTGTTTATCAGATGATAGGAAAGGTTGAGTTAACACAAAGTAAAATTTCGATATCCTGATATTAAATCGGTGATTCAACTTGTCCGGTCACCTTTGAGTGCGGTAGTTTTCCTCCATAATATGAGCTGATTTCTCGCTGGCGAGAAAGAGATATCCTGAATGATTAAACTGCAGATCAACGGGGTCTTCATTTACCACCCAGAGATGATTCTGTGGCATTTCAACAGAACAGAAATACACATTTACAAACACTTATCAGTATTCTCAAACTCTAAACCAGCACAAATGATCCTGCTGAATGAACATTTAAGCACATGTAGAAACATTTACAACAAAATATTTATTTAAATTCTCCAGAAATACTAATGCCTAGTCTTCATGTAACAAGAATAGTGTTTCAGGAAGCTTTTAACAGTGCAATATAAAAGGTTTTACATTAATGTTCTTCAAGAAATCAGCCGAAGTCATTGACAGCTGGATGTTTTCTTTCAGGGAGAACTGCTGCCGAATTCCACCACATGACAGCACAGTCGACGCCTGAGAATACTGCAGAAAGAATTGTGCAATGAACAAAAAAAGAGTCACACACAAATATATAACTCTAATTCTGAAAGCAATCACATCATTACCAGATGGCACAAGCTGATTGGCTCTGCTGATCCTGGATCCAATGGAATTGCTTGATCATATTCAGAATTTAAATAGTCTGGTTCAGTGTAGTACTGCAGCGCATTATTAGCCTGGTTAAAACCAGACCATTCTCAGTTGTAACTTGTAATTGAGTTATGGTCTGGCAAAGCGTCATAGACAAATCATTTCCAGAGGGGCGTCACCAACGGACGTCGAGGATAGACCTAAAACTAATCAGAGCGATGAAGGAGATGACGTATGCAGAGCGATGGAGAAACATCTCCGAGTGTTGTTCTTTGCTCGGTTTTTAACAAAAAGGAAACGTTCAAATCGCTTAAAACAGACGCGATAGCTGATTCGAACGAGTGATGTTCGACGGCGGCATCCATCTTTGTAATGTAGGCTACAAAATCTGCTTCAAAATCCCAGCGCTGTCATCATCGTGTAAAGCCCGCCCCAATGTTTCTGATTGGTGCCTCGATTTCGGCGGATTAGAAATGGGTTTGAATGAGCTCTTTGCCAGACTAACTTTCAGAGCAAATCTAAATTTGCCGGAAATTGTCTGGGTTTTCCCAGGCTAGCGCATTATCAGAGTTCCCCTGAAACCCTCCACCTGCCTAGATATTATACGAGATTCACGTCCGTCTCTATTAGCAGTAGCGTGTGTGTGTGTGTGTGTGTGTGTGTGTGTGTGTGTGTGTGTGTGTGTGTGTGTTTTGGTGTCATGATTTTAATATATGCCAGTTCACCCAAAAAAAAAACATTAATTGCATCATCATTTACTCACCTTTATGTTTTCAAGTTTAATTCACAAGAGAGAAAAACTTCACCATGAGTAAGAGGCTTTACACAGAGCGGATGGGATTGTTTATGGGAAAGCAGGATTTCTCTTTTCCAAGGCTCCCAGACAGACTCAAATCCCTATCCGATTATTATTTTTAAATTCAGTTTCATTTGAATTGAAGGAGTTGCATTGTAAATCTAATTTGGTTTCGTTGTATAAATAATTGATGATGCAGGGAAAAAGGGTCATAATCAAATATATGTTCTTGAATATATTTAATTTAAAACTTCTGTGCATTTTATGAACTGAGGTTTGTGTTACCATAATAGAGATATTTATCCAAGTTACGATCATTTTGCTTATTTCACTTTGATATTCATCATCAAACCTTTCTCAGTGTAAACCTAGATTGAATATTTCAAATCGAATTAAATTAATATAGATGTCCACTTGTAATTATTTTATTAAAGCTGGACCTGTTTCCACGAGTCATGAACATGAGCCAATGTCTGTTTGAAGCGCTACACAAGAAATAAAATATACTTGCTTGACCAACATGAGGTAAATGATCCGATTTTTTTTCTTTTTTGAGGGTGAACTTTTGAAAAGACATGGTTATTAACATCCTACAGTATATAGCCTATTCTGTCTCAAAACCTAGTGAGCTGCTTACCTTTACAACACCTTTGTAGAATCAAAAACATGCTCACTAGTGCTCCTAAGTGCCCTTGGATAAACTCACAGTAGGATCTTTCTCCACCACCAGCACTCTCAGACTGTCCCTCACACTCTTCCTCTTCAGCCAGTATGCGATGGACCATCCCACGACTCCCCCTCCTACAATCACCACATCGGCCCTCTCAGGGGGCAGGCCAGGGGTCAACTCAAACGGGCTCCAGTCACTGCCGGGCATCGCCGCGGCCGCTTTCTCCCGAAATGCCCGAAACTGAGCTTCCAGCTCTGCAACGAGTTACATATGACAGATAACCTAAACGTTTTCTGAGTATATGTTTTATTGGCTGGAGACAGAGGTTACATCATTACCAACCAGGCTAGAAACCATAATGTGTTTGTAATATTGTTGGATAAGGCGGCAGAATTTTTATGTTAATGTAATGCTGGTTTGTGGTAAATTTCTCCTTCATACATGTAGAAATGAATGTAGGAAGAAAACCCTTATTTTATTTGGTAATTATATTCTATCCCAAAAATGCAAGAGAGAGAAATATACGAAGAAACTGACTAGGATTATTTATGAATTAAATATGGTAAGAGAGTGTGTGGTTTATGGTTTTTTTTATATATATATATAATTTTGATTACTGTTTTGTATTAGTCTGAATACTATTTTTATGCAGGAGGCGAATTTACAAATCCTACTATAGTGAAAGCCAGACCTATGAATATTAATTAGGCACCGTTACGTTCGCCCTCACTGATTTGCTGAGAGGAAAGAGGTAGTTAGGCAGTTGGCCAATCAATGGACGAATGACTACTGCGAGCCAGGCTTGGCTCATGAATGTTGATTACGTGACTGGAAGCTCCAAGGAAGTAAACCAAGCAACGCCAGTATGACCAAATGACTATTAATAAGCTAACCTTTCGCATACTAGGATTAAAAAAAACGAGAATGTATGGAGGACACGCGTGATTCTTCCAACTGCTTAAATTTCGCTCTGCAAGGTTTAACGCCTGCCATACTAGTATGAATACATGAAGTATATTAAGTGGATCAACTCACCTTTATTAAAGTCCTTTTCAGCGCTCCTGCTGCTGTTTTTAAAACTCCGACAGGGCGTTTTCGGTGCTCTGAAAGCAGGGACGGAGGCGAACAACTTGCGCCACATTGCAATTGTCGTCAGACTGTTATCTTTATTCAGGAAAATACACTCCAATCACCTTACCACTGACACGCCGCTCACAGTGGAGGGTAAAAACATTTGGCCATGTGCGCATGCTCACAATGATGCCACAGCAAGACCAGCCCACATATGTGGTTCCATGAGTGGCCCTTAGGCGGCGTGTATATAAGCTTCTAAAATCATTTCTCCCTTATATTGTGTGCGAGTGATCGACGTTTTTGAATTTTCCCAGTCGTTATATGAACTGTAAACCAAGGAAACTCAGTGTAATATCCATTTTAATTATCATAACTTAAATAAGCCGTTCTATTTCAATGCATTAAAATAGACTACTTGGTTCTCGGACCAACAAATCTTGGTCTAAGCATATTGGGGGTGTGATATTGATTGGGGTTTAGATCTCAGTGAGTCTTGATGCAAACTTGGGCATGCATGTGATTTTATTGGTTAAAAAGAAAGACGCTGATCAGTTTTATCCCAGTCACTCCTTTATTCACCCATTTAAAGACAAATCAAACGGTTATCTGGCCAGTTGATTGCAGAAATGACTTCTGAACATTTTTAAACATTTATCCCTCACCTTTTCAGGTGATCATTTGACACCTTTCTGCCCCAAGTACAGACAAAACATCATATTTGAAGTTCAAATTTAAAAAACAAACCAAGAAAAAAAAGGTATGAAAAGAAAATCTCTTTCAGCAATTACAACAAAAGTATAAAAAAGTTTTCACGCTTTCTCCTCAGATCGTGGGAAGGGGGGCAGCAGACGTTCAGTGCTGTGTGTTCGAGAGAGGGGGGTGGGATTTTGAGTTTCTGGGTTTTACGTTCTTGAGAGGCCACGGTTGTCAAGGTCTTTGACCTATGGAGGCAAAGCAGGAGATCATCATTGGAAGTTAGGATGGTTTGGAAGGACAACAACGGTTAAAGACGCACAGGTGAGTTCAAGTTTACCTTGTATATCCTGACGAGCCAGTGCTCTGTAGTATACGCTTCCTCCAGCACATCCAGCTCAAAGTCCTTGTTGCCAATCTCAGCGTTACGAACTCTGTCGTAACCAGGAGGACGCTCTGAAATGAAAGGTAAACATAGTTCTAGTCGTCCAAAACTTCTTAGATTTTTTGTTTGTTAAAACCATGAATTAAAGTTAACATGAAACAGCATTTGCAACCTAATGTACTTCTGTAATGTCACTCATTCATAAGTGAAAATATTATATTATATAATTATATTATAATAATAAAAGGGGCGCTGTTGGACACCGAGCATGTAGGACGTGTCTCCCTTTTGCTCCACGAGTTTGTTTATTTTAACACTTTAACACAGTTTCTTTTCATTAATTTGGCTGGTGTACATATGTGACAAGTACTTGGTCAGTTTTGGTGTGTTTTGGGGGAATTTCAATCGACAATGTCAACTTCACGTGGAAACGCGGCTCGCACAGGCCGTGCTAAGGCCTCTCCCTCGACTGAGCCCGCATCTCCGCCGAAGGTGATCACGGACCCCGAGTGTGCGCCCAATTTGGATCACCTCCGGGCTATGTTAGACCAGTTGAAAGGGGACATTTGCGGAAAAATAGACTCGCTGTCTTGCGAGCTTCGAGCAGACATTTCTTCGGTAAGAGAGGAGCTTAGACACGCAATTGAACCGATGCAACAAAAACTTAGCTCTCATGATCAAGCTATCACGGAGTTGCAGCGAGCATGCACTGACCATAGTGACCTGATAACTTCACTGGATTCAACAGTTTCCACGCTGAAAGCCGAGGTTAAACTGCTGGCCGACAAATGTGAGGACTTGGAGGGTAGAGCGAGGAGGAACAACATTCGGCTGGTAGGTGTGCCGGAGGGGGCCGAAGGTGGGCGCCCAACCGAATTTATTGCCCAGCTGCTGATGGACTCCCTCGGTCTGGGGGAGTTACCCCTACTCGATCGTGCGCATCGCACTCTCCGATCCAAGCCCAGTGATGGTAAACCACCCCGACCCTTTGTGATTCGTGTGCACTTTTTTCACGTGAGGAATGACATTTTACGCCGGGCTAGCGAGGCTCCTCTTCTCCATCAAGGCAAGAAGCTGTTTCTGTTTCCTGACTACACTTCGTCAGTTGCGAAGAAACGCGCTGCATTCACGGACGTTAAACGTCTGTTACATTCGTGTTCTGGAGTGAAGTTTGGATTGAGGTTTCCCGCGATTTTAAAGATCACTCTTCCCGGTGGAGTTACACACACATTTGAGGACCCAGCCACTGCGATGGACTTTGTCAAGGTGAACTTAAAGTCTGGCGTCTCTTCTGGGGCTACAGTTTGAAAGCGGCTGGCAGTTCGTTTGGTAAACTGGGGGTTAATTTAACCCGGTTTCTGAAGCTGTCCTGTAAAAGTTCGTGTCACTTGGACTTGAGTCACTTTTCATATTTTGCTACTGTGTTTGTTTATATATTTATTTTATGCTTTATTACAAACTCGCATGAGCACTAACGTTACTGGTTTGTGCTGTTAACGGAGCGTGTTAGGATGTTTTTGGTAGTTTGTGGGATTTGCGCGCGTCTTATTTGGGAAGACGCTTCAGCTCGTGGGGTGGTGGGTGGGGGTGTGTGTGAGGAGTTCTCCCTTTTTCTTTCATTGTGTGTTTTGTTTAGTCAGGTCGCCCATGTTTTAATTTATTTCTGTGACTGTTATACATTCTATGCTGCAGTGTACACTAATACTTGACTGGCATGCAGCAGTCTAGGATGCCTCGACAATCAGGGGCAGGACTCAAATTTGTTTGCTGGAATTGTAATGGTCTAAATCAGCCTATTAAACGTAGCAAAGTTCTTCACCATCTTCAACAATTAGGAGCCCATATTGTTTTCCTTCAAGAAACTCACTTAAAATCTTCCAGCCATATCAGATTAAAGGGGAGGTGGGTCAGTCAAGTTTTTCATTCTAGTTTTAATTGTAAATCTAGGGGTGTTGCAATTCTGATTCACAAATCGGTTCCTTTTGTGTGCTCTAATGTAATAGCTGACCCCAATGGAAGGTTTTTGTTTGTAACGGGTAAGCTATATAGTAATTCTGTGATTCTGGCTAATGTGTATGGTCCAAACTGGGATGATGACAATTTTTTCCATCAATTGTTCGCCAAATTACCTGACATGTCCACACATCTTCTTATTATGGGGGGTGACTTCAACTGTTGGCTTAATCCGTTATTAGATCGTTCTTCTACTAGACCAGGAGTGCCCTCAAAGTCTTCTAAGACCATTTTATCCTTTATGGATGAGTTCTCGGTCTCTGATCCATGGCGCTTTCTTAATCCGTCTGGTAAAATGTATTCTTTTTTCTCTCATGTACATCACTCCTTTTCTCGTATTGATTATTTTCTCCTGGACAACCGCTTTCTCCATTCTGTTCAGTCTTGCTCTTATGATACTATTCTAATATCAGATCATGCCCCGACCACACTGGAGTTATTCATACAGGAGCGCGAACGTACATGCCCCCCCTGGCGTCTCAATACGCGCCTGCTATCTAATGAGGATTTTGTTAAGTTTGTTTCTAATCAAATTGACTTTTTTCTTACTACCAACAGTACTCCAGGGATATCAGCCTCCCTTCTTTGGGAGACTTTGAAAGCATACATTAGAGGTGAAATTATTTCATACAGCAGCTATGAGAACAAACAAAGGGAAAAAAAATTAAAGGAATTGAGGTTACGAATCTCCCAGCTTGATAATATCTATGCGTCTTCCCCATCCCCTAACTTATATAAGGACCGTCTCTCTCTTCAGGCTGAGTTTGATGTTCTCTCTACTAAAGAGGTTGAGGAGCTCTTATTTAAGGCTAAATATTGTTATTATGAATCTGGGGATAAGGCGACCAAACTTTTGGCCCATCAGCTTCGACAGGCTTCCTCCTCTCAGCAGATTTCACAAATTAATACTCCTTCTGGCGTCACTACCGATCCTAAAAAAATTAATGATCAGTTTAAACAATTTTACTCTTCTTTATATACTTCAGAGGTTGGGTCTGATCTGTCTGCCCTGGATAGTTTTTTTGACTCACTGGAGTTGGTTAAGGTAGATGCTGATATTGCTGAGCAGTTAGAGGACCCAATCACCATAGATGACCTAAAACGGGCAACATTTTCTATGCAGTCTGGAAAATGTCCAGGCCCGGATGGTTTTCCAACGGAGTTTTACAAGACCTTTTTTGACAAATTAGCACCAGTTTTGATAGAAATGTTCAATGAATCTCTTACTCTTTCTAAATTACCTCAGACTCTAAATCAGGCATCTATATCATTACTCTTAAAAAAGAATAAGGACCCTCTGTCCTGCTCAAGTTATCGCCCAATTAGTCTTTTATCTGTAGATGTAAAACTTCTGTCAAAATTATTAGCTATGCGACTGGAATCAGTTTTGCCTTTAATAATCTCTCCTGATCAGACAGGTTTTGTCCAGAACAGACATGGGTTCTATAATCTCAGACGACTTCTCAATGTTGTTTATAATCCTTCTACGTCAATGGGGCCGGAAGCCGTAATCTCATTAGACGCGGAGAAGGCTTTTGACAGAGTGGAGTGGAATTACCTTTTCTTTGCTTTGGAGAAATTTGGTTTTGGCCAAGAGTTCATTTCTTGGATTAAGTTGCTCTATTCATCCCCTATGGCTTCAGTCAGAACTAATGACACCCATTCAGAGTATTTCCCTTTGCACCGCTCCACTCGTCAAGGCTGTCCTCTGAGTCCTCTTTTATTTGCGGTTGCTATCGAACCTCTGGCTATTGCGCTTCGTTTAGAGCCACGTATCACTGGAATAACAAGATATGGTCTTGAACAGAAGGTCTCCCTATATGCCGATGACTTATTACTATTTGTGTCCAATCTCTCTATCTCAGTTCCAGCTGCTCTTGACATCCTTAGTTCATTTGGTCAGATTTCAGGCTATAAACTAAATTTGGACAAGAGTGAGCTGTTTCCTTTAAATCAAGGTGCCCAGAATGCTGCTCAGGGTTTCCCATTCAAAATTGTTCCATTTGGCTTTAAATACCTTGGTATCCGGATTTGTGACCGATTTGAAGATTTGTTTGATTATAATTTTGCCCCTTTGTTAGATCAGATACGGATGGACTTTCAACGGTGGTCACTGTTGCCTCTTTCCCTTGTGGCCAGGGTCAATTCGGTTAAGATGAATATCCTTCCCAAATTGTCTTATCTCTTCCAGTGCATACCTATCTTTCTCCCTCAGTCTTTTTTTCACAAATTAGACAAATTAATCACTGAGTTTATCTGGAACAGGAAGGTCCCTCGTATGCGAAAGGAGCTGTTGCAGAGACCTAAGACCCTTGGGGGCTTGGCCCTTCCTAACTTGAGGTTTTATTACTGGGCTTCCATCCTTAGAATAATTCAGCTTTGGATTTCTCTGGAGGGGGCACCAGTTTCTCCTACATGGCTGAGTATGGAGATGTTTTCTGTTAAACCTGCTTCGTTGACTGCTCTCATCCACGCTCCTCTTAGCTTTTCTTCCTCCCCTTTTTGCAATAATATCTTAGTTAAATCCACTTTTAAAATTTGGAAGCAATTTCGACGCTATTTTGGACTACAGACCTTCTCTTTTCTAGCACCTTTATCAGCTAACCCTGTTTTTCACCCTTCCTTAATTGATAAGGCTTTTTCGTTGTGGTCTGACTACGGCATCAAGGCATTTAGGGACTTGTATATTGCTGGTACATTTGCATCCTTCCAGCAACTCTCAGAGAAATTCCATTTGCCTAGGCAGCATTTTTTTAGATATCTTCAAGTTCGAAGTTTTACTCGCAATCTTAGCCCCAACTTCCCAAATCTCCCAGATGCCTCTCTAGTTGACTCCTTTTTAACCCCATTGCCTACCATTAAGGGTGCTATTTCATGTTTATACAATCTTATCCATTCTTTGCAGCTTACCCCGCAGCATAAAATTAAAACCCAATGGGAGGAGGATCTAGGGGAAGGGATCTCGGAGGATCTGTGGGAGGCCATTTTGCGTCGGGTTCACTCCTCTTCAATTTGTGCTAGACATGGTCTGACCCAGTGCAAAATTCTACATCGTACCCATCTCACTCGAGTTAGGCTTTCTAAAATCTATAATGATGTCGATCCCATGTGCATTAGATGTCGTCAGGCCCCAGCTACCCATGCCCATATGTTCTGGTCTTGCACTTCACTACATAATTTTTGGACGCAGATATTTAATTCTATTTCTGTTTGTACAGGGGTTCCATTTGACCCAACAGCATGTACCGCTTTGTTTGGGGTTTTGCCTCCTACTTTGCAGCTTCCTAAATATAAAGCTGACTTTGTAGCCTTTATCTCCTTATTGGCTAGACGTTTGATTTTATTGAGGTGGAAGTCTCCTGCGCCGCCTTCTCACTCGTCTTGGATCAGGGACATCCTTCAGTTCGTGAAGTTGGAGAAAGTTAGGTGCTCGATACATGGTTCTCTTGCAAAGTTTAATAAAACCTGGGGTCCATTTTTTGCACATGTTGAGGGATTGACTTTTACAGCTATTCCAGAGTAGCCACCCTGATTGTCTTCTAATTGTGAGTTTTTTTTTTCTTGTGGGAATTTGTAGCATGCTGGGATGTTTTTTATTTATCTCTCTGTAAGTGAACATATTGGGCCTTTATTTTGCAGTGGGTGACTGTTTTTTTTTTTTTTTTTTTTTTTTTTTTTTTTTTTTTTTTTTTTTTTTTCTGTTTATTTGTTTTTGGGGGTTGTTTTTTGTATTTTATTTCTTTATTTTATTTTAATTTCTTGTTAGTTGTATTTGACACTGTTTTGACTCCCGAATGGTTACCTCTTGATTTTGTTATGTCACTGGAAAAATCAATAAACAAATTTATAAAAAAAAAAAAAAAAATAATAATAAAATAACATTAAATAATAATAGGAAATATGAATCAATAAGAACATATTATATTATATATAAAATATTAAACAAATTCATGTTAAAAAAAAATAATTTTCATTAAGAAATAAGAAATCAAGAAAAAGAAATCAAGAATATTAAATTCAAATAATGTTAAATATAATAATATTGATCAGTATGACAATTATAATAAAACATTACTGTAATCAATAAAACAATAAAATACTCAAAATAATATTAAATAACAAAACAATAATTATATTTATTAAAATAACACTAAATGATAATAAAATATTAATAACACGTATACATATCAAATATATACTGTATATATATATATATATAGGCAGGATCATTAAAAGTGGGCGTCAAGATGTTAACTGGAAAAACATCAAACGGAGCAAATATTGTAAATAGCTGAACGAGTAGATACTCACTGGCTTCGGTGTAGACCTGGCCGAAGCGATAGTAGCACATCTTGTACATGAGGCAGTTGAGCAGGACGGGGGACCCTTCGCGGTCCACACGGAACTCTCCGGTGGGAGTGTAGTAGTCGTGTTCCTTTATGTGCTTCCCTGTGTCTGTGCTGCCCCCGATACGGACCATCCACAGGAACTTATTGATGTCTAAAAGAAATTCATGTAAACTCATGAAATTTTTGACATGTTATTCAGGTTTCATCCAATCCAGATATTACAACTCAAACGTTAAGGACCACAAAGCTGCTTCGGTGGTTCAAAATTAATCTAAGACCGTACCATCAGATGAATATCCCGTCAATCCACCAAAGATCACCAGGACGTAGCTAACATCCAGTTCTCTCATAATCTCATAGGCTTTCTCCTCTGTGGAGGCCATAGCCTGCAAAGATATTTATTTAAAAAAAAAACATTTATAAAAATGCCTAAAATATATTTAATCCACTATATAATCTCATTATAGAAACTGTAAACAGCAAAACTATATTCCTCAATCACCTGACCAACTCTGGAGATGTGAGTGTTATTCCAAGTGTTGTTGTCAACTAGAATCGTTCGATTGGCCATCGCTGTTATTTGATACCCATAATCCCACCACGACATGACTTTAGCATCCTGTACACAAACAAAAGCAATGTGAGATTAGCAAAACTGTTCAGAATCAAAAGAAGCAGGAAGTTTATGATGGCCAATGGATTGATGGATCCCACCAACCTCCGGTGTGTTGTGTCTGAGCCAGTAATAAGCCTCTCTGAAGTCATCGAAGATGATGCGACTGCCGTCACCACCGCGAGCGGAGAGCACAATGGAGGGGGAGGAGTAAGCCTCGCTGGTCACCCAGGTGGAGTGGAAAGTGTATGTGATGAGGAAGAACGCCATGACCAGAATCATGCCACTCGCCACCTACGGACCAATCAGTGCAGAGCATCACTGAGTGAACCAATGACACAAGCAAAACTGAGAAAGATTAAACAGAGCATTGATCGTACCTCATTCTTGATTGGGTAGGTGGAGTCCTGCTGCTTCTTGGATTTCTTGTCCGGTCGGCTGACATCCAGGTTTTTCATGTAGGTGGTGAGGACCTGAGAAACGCCAATGCCAGACAGGATGCACATGACGGGGGCCAGGACCAACATGAGACGTACCTGAGCAGAGCAGATAAAACTAGGGTCAGAGCTTCCACTGTGAAGAGAAAAACCAACTTCAAACCAAAATAGAGTAGAAATGTCTTACCATGACAGCTGAGAAGTACATGCTGGTGACGCCGTACATGATGATGAAAATTGTGGCATCAGAGAGGTTGTTAAAGCAGTAATAAAGGCCAACTGGAGAAACAAGAGATGACAGATTAAACACATCTGATGCAGTGTTATTTTAATATAATTTTTTTTTATTAGAAACAGCATGTTCTAGTGGGTATAATGGCCTGTTCACACCAAGATCGATAACTATAAAGACAACTATATTTGAGTCCACACCAGCAAACACAATCATTCTGTTTATTCTAAGCATGTGCTGCAATTTTGTCGTCTGCAGCTTTAAATGCTCAAGCGCTTTGACAGTAGTGATTGACCGATATATCGGCCGGCCGATATATCGGGCCGATATTTGCGGTTTTTACGTGTATCGGAATCGGGCGATACGCGGCTGCTGCGTTCGCCGATAGTTTTTTCCCGGCATTATTTATAGACAGGCGTCCACAGGCAGCTCTGTGCTGCTGGAGACGCTGCAGTTCACGTGCAGACCCTGCACTGCCCCTCCCCCACTAGCAGAGTGCAACCTGCGCTTCAAGATAACGGTAACTTTTAAACTTTCAAAGCATCTTTTAACTGTTTGACTGCTGAAATATTGTCACACACTTTGAAAATGGAAACACGTTGCTCTATAACTGTTATGTGGTTGCAACTATATAGCTAAGCAAGTTTGTGGGTCCAAATGGAAAACGCGAATGCCTCGTCTATAAAACTGCTTGCTTGCCATTGTATTTAGGGAGCTGCAATGTAGGGAGCTGTGTAGGCTATCCGTCCAGTATGCATTAGGGCTGTCAATGAATATTCTAAATACGAATATATATTCGAATAGTTAAAAAACCCTGAATTTTGAAGGTGAAAATTAATATTCGAATGTGGAAAAACACGCCCGCGGTAGCAGACTAACGTACACAGCACAGCTCGCTCGGAGCGCTCAGTGTCGGCTCTATGTACTGTGAAACTTCAATTAATGTATTTGTTTCAATCACTAAAATGAAGCCTGCTATATTTGGGACCTTAAATTCGCAACCTTAAATTGCTTGCACAAAACTCTTGATCAGCACTCAACATTTGTTTGTTGTTGTTCATTTAAACCGGTATGCGCGGAGAGCGTGAGGGTGAGTGCCAGAGTGAGCTCTGCGGTCTTGGCCATTAGGTGATTGACTCGTTTTTTTTTGTAGTAATACGTTGTCAAATATGTTTAAACTCAAATAAGCTACTTAATACTAGTAGTTATGTCTCTTTGTATTAATTTGTCCTGTTATTGACGTAATGCGCGTCATTGACCAAATGCACGACGATATGTTCAAATATGTTTTTTTAGAGGGAATATGCAAACGCCATTTGAGCCATTTTGACAATTTTGACAGCCCTAGTATGCGTACGGTAGCTGTTACGAACACTGGTCATAGGATTAAGTAATACCAACGTTGTTCCGTGCTTTTTGTGGGAGATTTATTCAGCGACCACCTGGCTGAGGTTTGGACGCGTGTGGTGTGTGTCTCCCTCGCCATCGCAGTGATATTAGAGACTAGACATGCTCATTTTATTTTATGTAGAAAAATTTAAACCATGGCAGTAAATAGTTCGTTACTTTTAAAATGAAGTACAGTGTGCACTGTGCACTTTATTATGCTGGTTGCTACTGTGTGCAAAAGTGTAATTATTTTATTTATGCTTAAATATTTATTTTCAGCACTGAATTTTTTTTTGTTCTACCTCATGTTTTTAATATTTGTTAAATATTGTTTATCTACTTGTTCTTGTTCTACCTCACATGTTTTTACTATTTGTTAAATATTGTTTTTTTAAGTTAAATAAATGTTACTTTTATTAAATTGAGACCTGTAACATTTGTTAACATCATGTCATTTTTATGATGTAAATTGAGGGAGCAAAATGTATCGGCTCCAAATATCGGCTCAAGAAAATCGGCAGCCCGTATCGGTCATCGGCTAAGGCTGATGGGAAAAAAATCGGTATCGGTATCGGCACTAAAAAATCCATATCGGTCGATCCCTATTTGACAGCCAATCAGAATCCATCCTGCTTTAATGTTTTTATCATTCATCGGCTGGAGAAAATAGTTCTGAAAGTGATTCCAATGATATTGCTTCTCTATGAAGTTATCGTTATATATGTGGTGTGGACTATTCTATATCAATCGTTCTTAATTATATATTAAGAACCATTTTAAGGACAATATCGTCTTTATCGTTATACGGTCCTCGGTGTGAACAGGTCTTAAGACATAAATTTAGAAGTGGCAACAGGGGTGCAAATACAAGAGACAGTAAGCTGAAATTAATTTTTCTTATATAAAATTAAATTTGAAAATAGATAAGTAAATACATTTTTAAATCAAGCACAGAAGAGGAAACAATAACATAATCTCGATTCAAACACCCATGCAATCTTATTCCTAAATGACAATGATTCGCCTCTGTCCATTAAACCTTTGATAAAATCGCACCAGAATATTCGGTGTTTGCGCAGTTGCTGATCCAGAGAGAGCAGTTTCATGTATGAAACAGCTAAACAAACGATACCGTGTGGTTGAAAAGACTGTGTTGCAAATAATCATGTTATCACAGAAGTACAGGGATAAAAGTTTATAGCTTGGATAAAAACACTGATGTCTACGGAAAATAGAGCAAATCACCTTTTGAATAACAATTGTATCGATTGCATAGTTACACCACCAGGTGTTGACAGGTGACTGTTAAAAATGTATGTATGTTAGGGGTGTAACGGTACATGTATTCGTATTGAACCGTTTCGGTTCGAGGCTTCCGGTTCGGTACGCATACAAACCGAACGATTCCTTGGACCATTTTTCCTGCCGACAAAATTCACCCTGGCGCGACCACCACAACGTTGCGCAACATCAAATAGCAAGCGGAACGAAACTGCGCTACTCATTATGTGCTTCACTGATCGTTTATCAGTTCGGAGCAGCAACATCTGTGCAGCGCGAGCCGATCTTGTTCAAGCGACACTGTTACTACACAGCGCTAAGGTCCAGTAAAGAAAACATTTGAATTCACCACTGAAGTAATAACATCGCTGCGAGATCTAGTGAGAAGCATTTACATTTCTCCGTTATTAACCGTAGATCTCTATTAGATCAAACAGCGCTGACGTGGACACCAGGAGAAATGTTGTGCCGTGAATGAACTAGTAGGCTAGGCCTAATACTTTACGTCCACAGACCAGCAACACTCACCATGGATTTAATATAGTAACACTAACTGTAACCAGTTTGGCTGGAATAGTGAAATGCTTTCAAGTACTTCACACATCTTTTTCCAGCACTTCAAAACTCAAATATATGAAGAGTTCAGATGCAAAAGCTAAGTGCCATTTGAAATTTTCTTCTAGAATGATCATTTTTATGAAGCTTGTATATTTAAGTTCAGTAATTTCACTCAAATGACAATTAATAGGTAATCTTCATTGCCATTTAAGTGAAATTACTGAACTTAAATATACAAGCTTGATAAAAATGATCATTCTAGAAGAAAATTTCAAATGGCTTTTGCATCTGAACACTTCATATATTTAAATGTTATTTTTAATGTGATGACCAAAACATTATTTGTTCATCCTTCAAAGATGACACCCATTTATAGACCTGAAAGTTTCAAGATGTAGGAAAACTCACACTTATTTAAAAAATATTTTTTCTTTTAACAAATAGGAAATTTCTCTTGCATTTCTTACTTTTTGCTGTATCGAAAATGTACCGAACCGTGACTTTAAAACCGAGGTACGTACCGAACCGTGATTTTTGTGTACCGTTACACCCCTAATGTATGTGTATGTTTGACTGTTAAAAAAAATCATTCATTCAAGAGATTTGTTCAAAAACACTAATTCATCCAGTAATGAAAAAAGTGAAGTATTTATGAGCAAGTCATTGAATCAAACCCAGTTTGTTTTAAATAATTCAGATTAATTAAACATTTTAAATAAACTGCAGCAATTTACATTTTTGTCAGAACTTCTAGTAAATTACATGTTATTTTGTTCAGAATCATGATGTCTGTTAAAAAAAAAAAAAAAAAAAAAGTGATTCTCAATTTATCCAGAATCATGCAGCTCTAATCTACGGAGCCTCTAAAGGGACACGGTAAAGATTAGATGGTAGAAAAAATTAGATGGTAGAAAAAAAATCAATGAAAAAAGTCAATGCTTTTGCGTTCCCAAGAGAAACTTTGCGTTCGTTTGTGTTCTTTGCGAGTGAACAAAAAGTTTCTCGGGGGAACGTAAACATTTTGCCAGACAACGCAAAAGTATTGCCAAATAATTATTCATCCCATCTTATATTTTTTTCTTCACCTTGTCCCTTTAGGGGCTCCGTACTAATCTATACGCAAAAAGTTACGAATTTGAAAAAGGAACTCAGGAAGGTGCTGTACCTGGAAACATGAAGACCAGAAGCTGCAGGTCAAAGTAGTAGGAGGACCAGGTGGTGGGCTGGTGCTCAGACACAGAGGCGATGATGGGGATGTTGTTCTTGGCGTATGAAGGATCCAGCAGAGAGTAAAAACGGCCAGTCCAAGGAGAGATTGTCCCTAACATAAGCAAATACAAAAACAAACTATTTAAAAATAATAAAAAATAATATTTAAATGACCAAAAAAAACAACATTTAATTATTATTAAATTCAGAAATGTAATTATTTTATTTAATTACCTGTCAGCATGAGCACACCACCTGCAGAGAGCAGGATGACTCCGACCAGCGAAATGACACTCTTGAACAACACTTCAAACTGTTGCGTGTTCAGCTTGCTCCGGAGGTAATCCACAAAAGCGTGAATCTGACACAGGCCAAACACTCCGAATGCAGCCATGTGTTCAGAGGACTGGACAGGCTACAGGAAGAGCAGGAGAGATTACTTATCTATTTGGACGTTTATAATGAAAGCAATTACTAGTATTTAGTAGCTGATATTCAGCTCCTCACCTGGAATCCAACAAAAGAGATCTGCATGGAGAGGACGGTGCCCAGGCAGTAGACTGTGCAATACGCCACATAGATGCGATGAGAGAAACGGCCGGTCAGCATCAACACCAGCACGTGCAGCGGAATGAGGTTGATCAGAAACACGTAACCACCCCAGGACGACACCTGATGCCAACACACAAAGTTGCTGTTAATGAAATCACTTGTTTTGTGTATTTAAATAAAATAATGATTCAACTGAAAACACACATTGAATGATCTGCTCTCAAACAACCCCAATTTAAAGCGACAATGGGTCTGAAATTTTGGCTCACCATGTAAAAATAAGCCAGCGCACACATGGATGACCAGTAAATGGAGCCCGTCTTCACTGCTTTGATCCACATGTAGTACGTCAGCAGCATGCAGAAAATGGCGATTCCTTTATATCCCAAAGGAAACAAAATTATATTTTATATATTTTTTTAAATATACATTTATACATACATATATCTACATATATCATAAATGTTTTATGTGTATACTAAAAATTAATAAACCACACACACCCGTTTGAAAGTTTGGGGTCTGTAAGTAGTCTTTTATGCTCACCAAGGCTGCATTTATTTCAAAAACAGTAATACTGTGACTTTATTTTTAAATAACTAAATCATTTTAAATGTTCTATTTTAAAATGCAACTTATTCCTGAGATGCAAAGCTGAATTTCAGATGCTGTGTTTTCTGTGTCAGTCTTCTGTGTCACATGATCCTTCAGAAATAATTTTTTGATTTGGTGTTCTAGAAACATTTATTATTATCAAATGTTGAAAACATGTTGCTGTATATTTTAGTGGAAATCGTTAGATTTTTTCCAGGATTCTTTGATGAATAGAAAGTTCAAATGAACAGCTTTTATTTGAAAAAAATAATTTATAACCTTAAATTCTTATTTTAAAACATATTATAAATCTTTGTCACTTTTGATCAATTTAATAGGTCCTTGCTAAATAAAAGTATTAATTTCTTGCAAACCCCCCCCCCCCCCCCCCCCCCCAAAAAAAAAACACGTACCGACCACAAACTTTTGACAGAAATTCTAAACCTTCTTGATGACTACTTTTTAAAAACATAACATTATACACAATACCTCTGAAACAAGACTGTACCTTCATTGTCATAAGAGCCTGCCACAGAACGAGAGATGTATCCAGGGACGACTGCGATCATGGCGGCAGCCAGAAGCCCTGCGCCCGCATCCTGGAACAAAGTGTTACTTCAATTAGATTGAGCCGTTAGTTGATAATCTGGACAATTTTGGGCCCAACTCTACCCTTCTGACAATCCCAGGTAAAGTCCTGATTATCTTGATGGTTCTACAGATTATCGTACCAGATTTTCCTGCGGTGTGAGGTGTGTTAAGAGGCCACACCGACCTCAAATCATAAATATCCAACATGTTGAATATTTACGATCAGAATTCTGTTGTGTGGTAGCCTGGTTAAAACCAGACCATTCTCAGTTGTAACTGAGTTATGGTCTGGAAAAGCTTCATAGACAAATCATTTCCAAAAGGGGCGTCACCAACAGACGTCGCTCAAAGGCCTCTGGGGGCAATTGGATAGACCTAAAACCTATCAGAGCGATGAAGGAGATGACGTATGCAGAGCGACGTTATAGAACAACTTCAATAAACGAGCAGACACTGATTAGCTACTTGCTCTATGTTTATTTAAAATTAACAGCAAGACAACTAGAAGTGAATGTGCTTTCCATTAAATAAATCACACACAGTAAACAAAAGCTTAACAAAAAAAACTTTGCAATGAACTTTGCAATTTAGATGCGCAAACTGCGTGCCGGTGCGGTGAGACGTACATGCTCATCCTCGGACGCGGTGCCGCGCGCACTGTTACAAAAAAAGCCGTGCACACAGCCAAGCGAAATGGGGTCAGTCTTGCGCATCGAACACGTCATTTTCCCGCGTAAGCTGATATTAGTGTTTAAACATTCTCTATGATAAAAACATTTTGTGAAAAAAATATTTGTATAACATGGTTTTGGCGGTTATAGAGATCTAATGACAGTGTTCAACTATAACCCTCACACCCCTATTCCACGGCGGCATCCATCTTTGTAAAATGTACAAAATCTGCTTCACCGTCGCTGTGCTGTCGTCATCGTGTAAAGCCCGCCCCAACATTTCTGATTGGTGCCGCGATTTCGACGGATTAGAAATGGGCTTGAATGAGCTCTTTGCCAGACTAACTCGCAGAGTAAATCTAAATTTGCCGGAAGTTGTCTGGGTTTTCCCAGGCTAGTTGAGTGGGGGAACCCTGAGGACAAACGCACACGCACTGTAGATTGTCACATGGAACGAAACGATACCAAATAAAGTGAAAGTGAAAGTGACACGTGATGGCCAAGTATGGTAACCCATACTTGGAATTTGACCTCTGCATTTAACCCATCCAAGTAAGTGCACACACATTAGGAGCAGAGTAGTGAGTAGTGAACACACACACACACTGCAAACGTGGATACACACACCCGGAGCAGCGGGCAGCCTTGAGTGGCGCCCGGGGAGCGATTGGGGGTTAGGTGCCTTGCTCAAGGACACCTCAGTCATATTCCTGCCGGTACTGGAATCAAACCAGCAACCTTTGGGTCACCAGTCCAACTCTGTTACCATTAGGCCATGACTGCCCTAAGAAAGTGAGCTTAACAACCAGTCATGGTGCAGCAGGCCAAACACAAACCTTTTTCGGTGAATTTTCTATAAAAAGCAGTCCAAACATTATTATCGGCATTTCTTTTTGCCCGTCGTCCGCCATGTTAATTTACTCTGGAGTCACATTTGACCGCAAGAGATTTTGCGAGATTTCTCATGTTCACAGTCGGGACTCTGGTTGTTTGTGAATGGAAGTGTGTGGTGTGCGGTCTTGATCACATTGCGGCACTCCACACACTATAGGAACAAAACTGTTAAATCTATGATTTTATTTATCGCCAGGTTTGAGGTCTCTCACATTTTTGAAAATGTTATAATATTTTAAAAATCTTTCAGTGTGGGCTAGCCTTTAGATAGATACATTATGAGCCGGTACCACTGATAAGGGTGTGATGGGTGAGTGCTGAGGTTCACCTCACCTTGAGCTCTTTGGTGAAGTGGTAGGTGACGATAGCGGTGAAGGAGGAGAAGAGAGGGGCAAGGAACACACACACATTGCGGATGTCGATTGTGATGTGGAAAAAGTGCAGCACGTGATACAGAGCCGCAGATGTGATCATCAACCCTGTAAAGAAGAGAAAAAAAAGAAGAAACACATGACATTTAATTTGGCAAAAGGAGCTGTATTATATATTGTGATGTATAGGTTTTAAATAGATGCAAAAGTCACCAACAAAATGACAGGGTGGTTGCTATAAAGAAGCTACATTGTTTAAAGTGGTTTTAGCCTGCTGCTATGAGGATGCCAGGCTCTCTGGCTGGTTGCTAGATTGTTGCTAGTCAGAGTCCCTAAATATGGTTCACGTTTATGAGATCTCTGCCAGTTTTGATGTTCATTAGGCAAAAAAAGTCCAATCAAGTAAATTAAAGTAATGATACTACACAATTTAATGTATCTGTTACACAGAGTTACACATTAAAGTTTAAATGCCAGATATACTTCAAGCTAAATCTATGAACAAACTGGTGTGACGTCATTTCAAATAAACTGGAGAGCTTCTTTATAGTAGAAATCGAAGTTGTAATTCTAATTGAAAGCAACACTGACACTATTTTTCATGTTTAATACTGCAATGCTGCTTGCTTTAAAGCAATCTATTATATAAAGTGGTAAATAAATAAATATCACATGACTGGAGTGACAAATAGCCATCACCTGTTTGATTACCAACATTCTTCAAAATATCATCTTGTGTTCAACAGAAGAAAGAAACTCATACAGGATTGGAACAACTTGAGGGTGAGTAAATGATGACAGTTTTCTTTGAGGCAACTATCTCTTTAATCCAAATGGTTAGAAGTTTGTTTAATGTTTGTGCAATAATAATAAGGAAATGACATCAGCACTGTCAACAAGAACTCCTCTCTATTGGAAATAATATTTTCCAGGGCAACATTTCATTAAATAAAATGGCATTGTTGCAGCATGACTGAAAAACACAGATAACCTTATGTTGCTATAAATTTTGAAATGAGTGTCCTTCAGCTGTACCGGGATAGATTGTGCCTCCTATAATCCTCCCAAGTGGATACCAAGCCCGATCATCAAACCAGTTATGGAATTTGTAAAAACCCTCTTCTGTCAAGAAGCGAGTGGTCCGGTAATTGAAATACCTGTCATTAAACAAACAGGAAACTCAGTTAAACAGGTTCTTGGGATGCTGTTAAAATAACGACCCGAAAGCTGTACTTACGGATCAAACTCATGGATGACGCTCTCGAACCGCAACACGGAGAACAATCTGGTGGAGAACGCTGGAAGAAAATGACAAGAATTAGAGGACAGTTGGCATCTAGTCAGGAGTTCTGATATAAAGGGACATGCATCCACTCACACAGGACGGCTGCCATAGACAGGATGAGTAGCTTCAGCAGGGTGTCCTGTTTCTCATAGGACAGTCGCAGGAAGCCCATCTTGGTCATCTTAACACACAGGAGGCAGGACTAACTCTTTATACCTGACAAAAGGGACAACAACAGCATGTTGAATTGTAACTTAAAATATAACACTTCAGGGGGGGAAATGCGAGACCAGTGTAGGATAGGACTCCTTTAGTAACAAACTATGTAACGTTACAAGCAATAAACACATTTTTCCAGATTTAAACTTCTAAAGGATTATGCAATTCTGCTAATTACTTTTTTACCTGATGAAAGAGATTTTTCTAAATCCATTAAGCGTCAAATACGAATTTTAGGGGTAAAGCAGTTTAAGAAATCGATCAATCTGCACATTTTATCATCTATTAAAGTGTACAGTCTCTGTGAAATCAGGAAGAGTCAGTATGTGCACAATTCCTATGCAAAATCCTACTACCTAATACTTAAACTCATACGTACAGGCAGATAAATCAATTCAGAGAGCATCAACATGCACATTAACACCGTGTTTTCCTGACAAACTATTCGTGAAAATAAACTATTAAAGTCTTCATTAGCTCATTAGCTGCTAGCTAATATCACACCTATGTCACACTTTCACAAGCTATTTTATCATATGTAAATGTATTATTCAATGCACATGAGTAAGTATAATGACAACAAACCCGTATAGTTGCGATAAATGAGCTTAAAAATGATACATTTGCACAATTACCAGTCTTATTCATCGGCGGTTCACTCACTCCAGCCCTTCCACACTCTCACACACAACCCTCTCTCCGTTCAAGTCCCGCCCATCCACGTAGAGAGGGCGCTAATTGGCTCAGCGTCGCAATTCCACAAGAACGGCTTCCGCTGATTGGTCTTCGAGATGTCATTCAAGTGTGTCAAGAAGACGAGTTCCGCATGGCGCTCCAGATATGACGTGTCCTAATGGGAGAAAGACAGTCAGCACTGTGGAGTCCATGCTGCACTCAAATCAACTTTAAAACTTGAACTTTCAAGTTTCATGTCAAGGATCAAGTATCATAACATATTTATGTTATTTTAATTATTTGATAACATTTCACGTACACGTTCATAATGTCAAGAAGGGAAAAAGGTATTTTCATGAAGCTCTGTATAATTCTAAAGCAAAGTGTTTATTTAGGATAGTTGTCTGCTTTATCTTGCAATAAAAAATGACTTGAGTCGTCTGATGTATACATGAGATTAGATGCAACCATGATTAGAAGATTAGAATACATAAATTATATAAACACAAACTTTTATGCTAGATGCGATTAATCGATTTGACAGCACTATATAATAAAACATAACAGTAGCTCAAACAGCAGAGCAAAAGTCATGGGTTCAAATTCAATTCTCAAGTAAGTTGCTTTTGATAGGAACATCTGCCAAATGCATAAACATAAAATGCTAAATAACAAGTCCACTCTAAACGAGTACTGTATACAGACCAAATTTATTGAAATAAATGTAATACTTTTACAAAATGTCACTCACAAATATCTGTCTGTAGGTGTAACACTATGGACTCCTGACAATAATTACAACCCTTTTTAAAATACACACCACCCTCCCCCCACAGATACAATGACATCAAAACGGGCGTTTAGCATGTGCTTCAGTTTCAAATGTTCAAAAGCAGGTTTCAGGTACTGAACTCCAGGAACATACACCACAGTAGATATCCACTTGACATGCCAGCATTCATCGGAAACTGGATCCGTGATCATTTAAAGAACAGTTTCACACGTGTCACACAGTTTGGCAGTGTCAACTGACAGCAGCAGAGGAATAAAACTTGTGCATACTGTTGAAAATCATCCCCGAACCATAACAGATGACACTGGATCATGTTGACATGGTATTCCCAAAATTATAAAAGATGCGAAATGAAAAGCAGCTCCCTTTTGAGTTTTACATTATTACATTAGAATATTTTAACCAAAAAAACGAAATTCTGTCATCATTTATTCACTCTCATGTCATTCCAAATGTTGTTCTTCTGTGGAACACAAAACGTTTACACGGCTCTTTTTAATACAACAAAAGAATATAGTGACTTGAGCAGCATGAACATTCTGCAAAATCTCTATTTATGTGTCCCACAGATAACAGAATAAATGATGATAGAATTTTCATTTTTGGCTGAATTATTCCTTTAAGATGATGTCTAGTCAATAAAATAATGAGCTTTAAAAAGTCTAGCAGATAACAATTTAGATCAAGAAACATCCCTTGCATAAAGATGCCTTTCAATTTGATCGTTTTTCAGTCTAGTTCAGTTTTCCGTGCAGAAAAATAAACCATTGGGGGAAGTTGGGGCCCTTTCATTAACTAAAGCATGTCATAGAGCTTAGTGTTAACTGATAAACACATTATCATTTGTCTGGGCCACACAAGGCAGAAGAAGTCATTACATAAAATTAAAAAGAAGGCCATAAATAGATAAAATTAGTCAAGATAGAAACTACAGGGCCTAAAAGAAGAGGGTGGGCCAGTTCACAGGAAATGTGCATGCTGAGGTCTTTGTGCTGTCTCTACAAATCACCCAAATGGCACGTCATGGGTACAAAAATAGTCCAAAAACAAAACAAAACAAAATCACATAGAGAATCATGACCTTGTGTGTATCCAGTCTTGAACACCGGGCAATTACAATACTAACCTGTCCGATTCATCCCACAGAAGAACATCGAGTCGACACACACTTTCAAATTCAGATGACGCAAACCTAATCGTTTTCCTATCCGCCTGACTCTTTCAACTCGAACAAAGTTAGGACTCCTGAAAGAGGTCACTGGGGGGGTAGAGGTCGCTGGCGCGTTGGGGATACGTGAGGCGAGGGCAGTTTCTCTGTGGACGTGGAGGTCGTGATGGAGCTCTGCATGTGAACCGTCTTGTGGAAGAGTTTGTTACTGATGAGGACGACCAGGGAAAAGAGGCGGAGCTGGAAGTGGCTGCGACAAACAATGATGTAGAACATTAAAATCGCTGCTTTTTCGTAAATAATATTTGAAACAAAACAAAAAAATTAAAATACTTACTAGAGTTTGACTGGGGTTTTTGCTTCATTAGCGCTGATGATGAAAAGCGGGAAGAGAATGGAGAACAAACAGCCGCTGGAGGAAAGAGTGCAAGATTCAGTAGAGGCACAGAAATGATACATTATCCATGCTGCTATAATACTAAACATTTTAGCAGAGGAAAACACTAGGGATGTTTCAGAAATACAATAATAAAACAAAAAATTCAGACATTTTTCAAACAGGGTACGTTTACACGATAACTAAAACTAAAAGCAGAAAAGTTTTTTCGCGTACAGAGACAACATTGTCAAACTATACCCGTTTAAACGGACCTGCAAAAATTACTAAAACGCTGCATTCTGCTGCCTGGCCAGTAGTTGGCGATGTCACTTTGTAAAGGAAAAACTATACGCCTATAGACTGAACACGTAATATGCATGTGCATGACGTCACCGTCACAAATTCACATTTTTGTATTTTACATGGAGACAATAACGGTATCATTTTCAAAAACTTGCACTTTGAAACCCATTTTCAAAAGTTTGTGTTTTCAGGCCTCCAAAACAGCCTTGTCTTTTAAATCAATGGCTAAAAAAAACGCATAAAAAGTTCAGTTTTTAGTTGAAACCAGTGTCGTGTAAACAGCCCCATAGAATGGCAATATAGAGTGGTTGAAAAAAATAATAAATAAATAAAATAGAAAAATAAAATACAATACAATATAATACAATAAAATAAAAACTATAAATAATTGAAGATAAATCATACAGCATTGAGGACCCCACCCGCAGAGTTAGTATTAATCACAATCAGAACAAAAGATGGTCAGGGTCAGAATGAGTTGAAATAGACTCTGATTGTACCTTATGATGTATGAAGAGGGCAGCGCAGTCAGTAGTGCCATGGGCAAACCAAAACCAAAATAATACGGCCAGTTCCTCTCAATGTTTGACAGCCTTTGGTGCATTTCAATCCCTTCAGAAGAGATACAAAAACCTTTTCAATCAGGAAAGGTTTAGACAGAAAGCTGATCTGATGTAAAATTGATTAGATGAGCAAGAGCATACCGTGATTAAACCAGCGATATTCAAAGCAGTAAAGCGAGTAGAGCAGAGACATGTGCAGGAGACTGACCAGCTGACCAATAGCATCAATGGGGAAGAGACTCACAATCCATCCCTAAAAAACCAACAAGCGCAGGAGGCGAGTTTGAAAAAGGCAGAGAGAGAAAAAGGAACAAGTTGAGTGAATCACATCACCGATTTCAGCGATCTTCTACCTGTATGAGGAAGAGGGCCTGGAGCAGAAGATTGAAGAGCATGTCTGCAATGATCTTGCTGACGCTGGGAAAAGGCTGAGCTTTACGTCCAGACACTTCAAACGCCAGATCAGCAATGTCCTGCCCAACAAAACATACCAAAACTCACAACTCTACATTTGAAATATTATAAAAACAGATATATATAGGCCTATATATATATATATATATATATAAATGTTCATTGATTCTGTCAAATTCAATAATTACTATTATATCTATCTATCCATCTATCTATCTAAATTTATATTAATATTACAAAATATTTATATTTCAAATAAATGCTGTTTACAGAATTCTGTTTTAAAAAAAGTATCACTTTTGTACACAAAAATATTTCAAGAGACTTCTTTCAAGAACATTACAAAAACTTTTGTAAATCTTTTTTACGGTACCAGTGTATGTATATATATATATATATATATATATACATATTAGGGGTGTAACGGTTCACAAAATTCACGGTTCGGTTCGATACGATACACTTGTGTCACGGTTCGGTTCGGTACGATTCGGTACGTTTCGGATACAGCGAAAAGAAAGAAATGCCAGAGAAATTTCCTTGATTTAAATTTTTTTTATTATATTTTTATTATAACTAACATCATAAAGTATGATATTTTTTTTAACTTTGAGCAATGATGGAGCTATACTTGACTTTTCTTAGGAGCTTATAAAACAAAACAGCTCCTTGGACAAAATGAAATGTAATAGTGTAGTAGTTATAAACAAAGGTTTATTTTAGTTCAGATTAACATTTGAGGGCGGCAACTGTATTCATAATGTCAAAATAAAACCGACGTGATGTTACTTGAAAGCATTATAGCCTACTATTCCTGCCAAACTTCCATGGTTACAGTTATTAGTGTTACTACAGTAAACCCATGGTGAATGTTCCTGATCTGTGGACACTGGATAGTTCATTCATGGCACAATGTTTCTTCCTGGTTTCCACGTCAGCGCTGTTTGATCCGTTAATAACGGAGAAAAGTGAATGTTTCTCACTAGATCTTGCAGTGATGTTATTACTTCAGTGGCGAATTCAGATGCTTTCTTTACTGGATTTCGCTGTGTAGAGTAACAGTGCTGATGATTAAGATCGGCTCGCGCTGCATTGGTCCAGACTGATAAACGGTCCGTCAACCACACAATAACGAGTGGTTTCGTTCCGATTACATTACATTTGCCATTTGATGTTGGGGAATGTTGTGGTCACACCAGCGTCTCTTACATTATGAGCGCGCTTGCCACGCGTGACGGGCCTACATTTAAAAGAACGAAATTTTGGTCGGCAGGAAAAATGGTCCAATGGTCCTGCAGAGTTTAGCTCCAACTTGTCTCAACCTACTTATCTGGTAGTAATCTACTAGTCTGTTGGTTTGCTCTAATAAACTGCTTGATTAAAATAATTCTGATTTCTACACCATACAGGATCAAAACCATGTGTGAAAAATAGTCTCACCTGGAACCAAATGGAGTTGACTATCTTGCTAAGCACAAAGAGAGGCAGAACCCAGAGAGCACTGAATACAGATGTCAGAATGAACTCCAGCCAGGACCACACATTACCATGCAGAGAAGGGTCACCTGAAAACACATCAGTAGGAGAGGCATAGAAAAGAAAATATCAAATATACAAAGAAATATCTGGAGTATATGGCATGAAACTTCTATAAAAGAGGCGTGTACCTATGATTCTAGCAGTGATGGACTGCAGCAGTGGGATAAACACTCGATAAAACAGGAACAGACTTAGCTGTGAGATAAAAGAAATGAGATTTTTAGTAATATAATAGTGAAACACACAGAGCAAAACATAGCTGACCGACAAGAGACATAAAAACGTACCCAAAATACGCCTCCGTTCCAAGCACAGCACTGGAAAATTCGACTTGCTAGTTTCGGTTCACTGTTAAAGGAAAAAGCGAAGAAACATTTTATCAGGACCTCTAGTATTAGGCTCAAAGAATACTTCAGCCGTACTCGTTCTGAAACGGTCCACAGTCGCATGACATCATTTTCATCATCGGGAGGGTCCGTGTACAACAGCAAATGCGCAAGGTAAATGTGGAGACAGAAGAGTCCACTAAGTGGCAATATGTACAGTTGTGATGTACTGTGCAGTAGTCGGAGAAGAGTGCGTAAAGAGCGAAACAATAGTAAACAAAGCAGCATATTATTCAATTGTTTTGGTTCTGGTGCTAAACTTTGCAGGCAATGGCAGAAACGCTACTATTCTTATTCTTTTTTCTTCCCTCTGACATCTGTATAAAAAGCAATGGTACTGTGCCTGTGTCAAACGCATCCATCTGCGCTCATCCACGGTTAAGTACTTTGAAAGCTGTGCGGACATTACTGTGTGCGAGATGGAGCAGCACGCGGAAAATTAAGGCGGGCCCACTGACTAAAAGGGGTGAAATGGCACATTTACCTGTCCTGTTTTCGTTCCTCGCTCTGAGCCCGTCTCATTGCCAGGGTCCCGCATGTCCTGCGCCTCCTCTGCTCCTCCCTCTTCTGCTGAATCCGAGCATCCAGCTTGGAAATGGTTCCAATGCCCAGGATGGAGTCCTTGATCCCCTGAAATGAAACTAAAAGATTGTCACTTAGATTGAAGCAAGCTTGTGTGAATGATGTTAAAAATCGATCGAATTATGTTATTTGATTATAAATATAATGAACACAGTAATATTGTGTGATATTATTACAGCTAATATTAATTACAATTAATATTTTTTAAAATGTCTTGGGAAAGCTGAATATTCAGCCTAATTACTCCAGTCTTCAGTGTCACATGATCCTTCAGAAATCATTCTAATATACTGATATGATGATCAAGAAACATTTCTGACTATTATCAATGTTGAAAACACTTGTGGAAACAGTGATTATTTTTACAGGATTTTTGATGAATAGATTTATTTCATCTAAATATATTCTCATTAATTCATATTTGTAATTATTTATTGAACTTTTTGAATTATTATTATATCTTTTCTCATCTTTCTGTTTGTAAGTATACATAAATCTTTTTTTTTATTATATTTGGAATGTAATGTTGTGAAATTTGTTCTGTGTTGTTGTACAGAACACTGCTGATCTTAATGTAAAGAAAAACTTTCTGTTTTGAACCAGATGCAAACTTATGATGTAGATATCATTCAAGTCATGAGACATTAAATCAGAACGTTTATTAGAAATAAAATTAGGTGCCGACCGTCGCAACATTGCGGAGAAACGCTCTGACACTGTCCGTCATCTCCACACCGGCTGCAGAGTCATCAACTGCAGGAGGAGCAGCCAGGGGCCAGGCAAGATCTCATGACAGGACGAGGACACGTCTGCAAACTGTACAGAGAAAAATAACTCTTTATCACTGTGGCTTCATATCATTTTCATGCTTTAATTTGAGTGTAAACCCATTTGATCTACAAATTTGATCCAGCAGCTTTGAAAACAACCTGAAAAACATAGTAAAAGAAAGCAATAAAATAAAGTTTCTTTAATTTTAATAGATGGAATTTAGAGGTCCACGTCTGAAATGACATGACATGTACGTTGAAAACATCCCCTAATAGAACTCTACGTGATTAAGGTCAAGGGTCACACATATATACTACCAAACATGTTTTTGAAAGATATTTTGATTAGAACTAAAGCTGGGTGCAAAAAAAACTCTCCATATCTCTAAAAGGCCGCTTGCTATCAGGTCAAATTAGATTGATATAGTTTTGATTATCAAAGAACACTGTCACGAAGCAGTTTGATGGACCAGATTTCTAGTAAACAAAACCAGCAGCATTAGCCAGTAGATCATTAGCTGAGCAGCTAACTACAGCAAAAAACAACATTATCTGACTATTATCGGACACATATTACCATAGAAACCATATATGCATATTAATTCAGCACATCGTACCTCATGTGCCTATTTAGGCTAAAATCTTATCTTCACCTGAAGCCTTGAAGTTTCACTCTCTGTTCTCAAGCTCTCAACAAAACAGCATCAGGCCAGTGCTGCTGCGCATGCGCGGGGCGATCTGACACAACGTGGGATTTGTAGTTTTTAGACCGCTCTGATTGACTGGAACTACACCGTAGATACCCAAGCGACGCTTTCTGTTTGCTTCCAAGAAACTTGCGGCATAAATGTCACTCCCTTTTACCGGAACTTGGCGGGCACTTATTTATTGTAGCATTGCCATAGCACTTAAATCAGAAAAGCATGGCTGTTTTCAGTATAAGAAACAATCACAAGAGGCGATATGCTGTTCTGTTATTGAGTCTCGCGTGCTTTATTATATACCGACACTTCAGGTAAGAGACATTTTATTTAAAACGTATATTCGAAGGTAAAAAGTCTTTAATGTTTAATATTTTTATATAAAAATTATATATATATAATAATAATTCACAAGGTATATTCATCGCAGCATAAGTTGGGTGGTAATTATTTTCATAAATGGGAAAAATGCAGTGTATGGGAACATTTAATGTTTAACTTTTCTTTGTAACTGTGCTTCTTTACGAATTCCAACGTTTATTTGTTTGTTTGTGTATGCATGTGTGTATGTTAAATGCTAATTATTAAAATGGCAATAATTCATTTCTAAATAATTAGCTTCTTTATGAATTCCAACTTTTTTTGTTAAATGATTTAATTAATAAAATAATAACAAAATGTTTTATTTTCTCCATGTGTTTCTCTTGTGTGTCCAGAGGTCCGACAGGGAAGATAAGGATAAATCGCTCAAAGGGTCTGCGAGTAAACTCTTCCCAGTTCACTCTGGGAGGAGAGCCGTTCCGTATTCTGGGTGGCTCTTTACACTACTTCCGCCTGCCCAGAGCCTACTGGGAGGACCGGATGGTGAAAATGAAAGCCTGTGGTCTCAACACTCTCACTGTGTAGGTTTGACATTGGCAATCACAGTCTATGAACTGAGGAGTGTGCAATAATCAGTCTGTGTTTATCTTGCAGTGATGTGCCATGGTCTCTCCATCAGCCAGAAAATGGAGAATTTCGCTTCCAGGGAGGCCTAGATATAGAGTAAGAATTCCTCCCTTTCTCTTGAATTCCCACATGTGAGAAAATCAGCACTATATGAGATCTGTATATTCTGATCCTGGAAGGATCTCGCCTCTATTTAATGCCTTGTTAGACTTACACTTAGTTAGACAAACATCTCAGAGAGCTCCTGTTGCCGGTCCTCTGACAATACCGTCGGTGTGTTGTTGTTAGGAGGGAATTTGTTCTCGTTCTTGTTTCATCCGGGTTCGTATCATTATCTGCACACCACTGGGAATACGTCATTAAAGTAGATCCAAGGTCTTCCATAGCAACACAACTAAAGGATGAGACCAATAACATTTCAAAATTTAGAGACCTTTTAAAATAAAGGCTGTAAATGGCATGATAGAAATTCAAGTGAAATCAAGTGGTTACAGAAAATGTTTTGTTCAATGCTTTAAATATTAAATGACACTAAATAATTTCTAAATAATTTACTGTGCTTCTTTACGATTTTCCCACTTTCAAGTATTACTAAGTATTTTATTATTATTATTATTTTAAATATTGGTGTTAAATGCTTTCATTATTAAAATGACAATAATACATTTCTAAATACATAAATGTGCTTATTTATTGTAGCTATTTATTTGATTTGATTTTTTAGCTAAAATTTCTCAGTGTGACTTCAGTATGATCATTTTTAGGTGTCAAATTTTTTTTTTTTTTTGCCCATCCAATTCAGAGCTTTCCTTCACCTGGCTGCAGAGGTGGGACTCTGGGTAATTTTACGTCCGGGACCATACATAGGCTCTGATCTTGACCTTGGAGGCTTGCCCAGGTAATTTCTGCTGTTAAATAGAACAAAAATGGCTCTCCTGTAGCATAGCTTTTAAGTCGACTTCTGCAAATTCCAGAGAAAATGTGATTAAAGTTGTGAGGCAGCAAACAAAGGAAGTATTTGATCAAACTGACATTATCTGCCACACTTTTTGGTAATGTGTGTCATGAGGGGAATGAAAGACATACCCTTAAGTTTGGCATTAACGAAACAAAACCTAAAGTATGTTGTTCCTGCCACAGATGTTTGACATACAGCTACAGATACTGGGTCTTCACACTAAAAGATAAATTTGTTAAAAAAAATTTACCACCCCAAACAAACCACCTCCCTCTACAGCTGGCTTTTGCGTGATAGAGAGATGCTGCTGAGAACCACATACCCAGGATTCATAGCGGCTGTAAACGAGTACTTCGACAAGCTCATTCCGAAAGTGGTCCCTTTCCAGGTAGGATTCTTTTTTACACAAAAAGTTCTCAAAAACATTCTCCGAGTAATCTTTGATGTTGGTTTATATGTTGTCAGTTCAAGAAAGGTGGGCCTATCATTGCCATTCAAGTGGAAAACAAATATGGATCATATGCAAAAGATGGAAACTACATGTCATTTATCAAAGAGGTAACAGTGAACATTGTACACTTTTCCTTGATACTTATTAAAGTTTACAGACTGGCAGATTTTTTTATATAATTTCTATCAGGCTCTCCAAGAAAGGGGCATCAGGGAAGTTCTCCTAACATCAGACGACCACGAGGGTCTAAAATATGGTGGAATCAAAGGAGGTACAAACAGAACACAGCACCTGAACTTACATGCAAAAATGATTTTTGCAGTTTATGGTCAGTAAGATTTTTTTTTTTATGTTTTTGAACAAAGTCTCTTATGCTCACCAAGGCTGGGAAAAGTTGAATTTTCAGCACCTATTACTCTTTAGTCCTTCCGAAATCATTTTAATATGCTTATTTGCTGCGGAAGAAACATTTCTTATTATTATCAATGTTGAAAACTGCTCAGTGTTTTTGTGGAAAATGTGATAGAAAGTTGAAAAGAACAGTATTTATCAACAGAAAGTTGAAAAGAGCAGTATTTATTTGAAACAAAAATCTTTAGTGTCAGTTTTGATCAATTTAATGTGTCATTGCTGAATAAAAGTATTGATTTCTTAAAAAAAAAAAAAAAATCTTACTGAGCCCAAATTGAATGGTGTTTAAAAAATGCCTACTGTCACACATTCTTTCCTCCATCACAGCTTTAAGAACTCTAAATCTACAGAAAATGAATCATGATGACATCAAATATTTGGAAGCAGTCCAGGTAGATATTTCAGTGTCTTTTTTGTAGATGTAAGTATTAGATGAAATATTTTAAATGACTTTAAATGCATGAAGCCCAACAGTCCTGTGCTGGTGATGGAGCTCTGGACGGGGAGGTGTGATGGATGGGGCGGTTTACACCATAGTTTTCCTGCAGAGGGTAAGATGTTATCATATGGCTCTATCTATCTATCTATCTATCTATCTATCTATCTATCTATCTATCTATCTATCTATCTATCTATCTATCTATCTATCTATCTATCTATCTATCTATCTATCTATCTATCTATTTTAAAAAAACCTAAGGGGTCTTTTCTATACTCAAATTTTTATTTAACATGAGGAATATGAAGGGCCAAAGCACTGATGTGAAATTTCTTTCTAATGTCAGACCTGATTGCTGTGGTGAGAGAGATACTGAGGCGAGGAATGTCCATCAACCTGTACATGTTCTACGGAGGGACAAACTTCGGATTTATGAATGGAGCGCTGGCCAGCCCTTCTTACAAAGCTCTGGTCACAAGCTATGGTTTGTGTTCCTGTCATCTTAATGATGACTGCATGCGAAACTAGGATAGGAGAAAGTATTTAACATTAAAATTATATCAACTTTAAAGGGATAGTTCACCCCAAAAATTAAAATTCTGTCATCATTTCCTTACCCTCATCTTGTTTCAAACCTGTATGATTTTTAAAGAGCGCTGGAGACTGTTGAATTCCATTGTATACTTTAGACAAACATAACACTGATTCATTTCTCAAAATAGCTTCTTTTTTATGTTTCACAGAAGAAAGAATGTCATACAGGTTTGGATCAACATGAGGGTGAGTAAATAATGACATAATTTTCATTTTTGGGTGATGTACTTCACAATATGGCCAGTGTGTGGAGGTATCAAGCTTAGAGTACTAGCATTTCAAAAAGCTGCAAAACACAGTGGCTGTGTTTAACTCCACTTTTAGACATACTCGCGTATGCAACACCATAAACCACAATGCAACACAATTGTGATGTTACAACAGCAACTTGCAGTGCTCACCTCACACTTAATTTCTACACAAGTGATCAAGGGTTAGGCGGGTATTCCATTTAAACCCATTTCAAGGGTACGGCCAGTAGTGGTCACTCACTCGTGCTAAGCAATGACGCACTGTACATCCGAGTGAATGAGAAGGAGGGAAGTCAGCGGGGGAAGGGCATAAAAAAAGTGGACTTAAATGCAGCCATGTGCTTGTATTTGAACCAAATTTGAACTACTTTTTTATTAAAGCCAAAACATTTTGATCACCCCATGGTGGCTGGCTGCAGTGTAAGTCATAAAGCCCGCCCGCTTCATTTTATCAAATGGGACACGAGCCAAACTGAAAAATCCAATTATACTTCAAATGATTTATTTCCAAAGATGGTTTCTGGCATTTTAGATAGTTCTTATCACGGTGACGTATGTTCAAATGTCCATTTAAGTTTGGTTTTAGTTCATTATTGGATGCTTTAAAAATATAGCATTGTGTATAACACAAGCCTTTCTATCTTTCTTTCAGATTATGATGCTCCTCTGTCAGAAGCAGGAGATTACACACCTAAATACCATCTTCTCAGAGATCTTCTCAGCACTTTTAACAGTTTGTGATCCCTTCCTCTATCAGAATATTCAATGCAAAATAAAGTGCCCCTATTATGTTATTTTAAAGCTCCCTAATTTTGTTTTGAGGTCTCGTCTGTCTATCTAAGCCCCTCCTCTCCAAGAGCCTGCTTTGCTCTGATTGGTCAGTTGGCCCAGTCTGCTGTGATTGGTCTTCCGCTTGACCAAACACCCATTACCAAATCTGAATTTGAGCTTCCTCAGCACTTGTATACACAGTGCTGATATGAGTGTCAATTTGAGGCCTCGTCCTTTTGAAGTGCATGCAAAGTAGATTTGCTTTCCTCAGCACAGAAAACAACGTCTGCAACACGAACCAGACTCTTCCAGGCCTGAGCTACAACTACAGTGTTTGAGGCAGGAAGTAAGACTGGAATTACAAACGATTAATTTCAGACAGTTCAGAATCAGTTCTTTATCATAACTTCATGTGTCATGCACTTTGATCTTTGAAACTTTGCAGACCTTTTACATTCACAAACACACTACATGAAAGATAATATCTGAAAAAGCATAATAGGGGCATTAAAGCCTTGATTTTATCCATTATGATTTGATTGGATCATGGAAAGTGTACTAAGATATTACTGGTTAATATTATTTTTCCCCTGCCCATCTGGCCTTTTTTCGTCAGAGGAGAAAGTTACATTTTATTTTAGTAATAATATGCTCACATGTGCTCATGTGTTGAGTCTCTGTGGTTCTCTTCAGATGAAATCCTCCCTGAGATGCCTGGTGTCCGCTGGAAAGAAGAATATGAGGCGGCTATTTTGTTTCAACACCTCTCACTGTGGGACGCTCTGCCATACACACACAAGGTAAGGTAAGAAGTCTAATTTACAGTGGAGAAATACTAACTCTGAGAAATGAATCTCAAAATCTTTTCCCCCCTTAAGCCTTTCAAATCTCAGTTCCCTGTTAATATGGAGAATCTGCCTGTGAATAACGGTAATGGCCAGGCGTATGGATACACCCTCTATGAGACCACCATCATCAGAGGAGGCTCTTTAAAATCAGAACACAACATCCAAGACAGAGCCATGGTTAGTGCTGATAAACAGTCAAGCTGTGCTGTTGTGCATGAATATGCATCTGCTTTAATTCTATTTTAATCAGGATTTTTTTTCCTAGGTTTTTGTGAACCAAAGTTTCATTGGTATATTTCACCACAGGAATTTAGAATTAGCGGTTCCTGATGGAAAGGTATGATCTTATTTCATTTTTTAATCTTTATATCTTATTTTTTTCTGGCAATATTGAGTCTCTTTTTTTATATATATTGTCGTTTAATTGTATTGATACTATACAGGTGAAACTTGAAAAATTTGAATATCTTGCAAATAGCCGTAACAAGCAGTAACATTTAAAAAACGTTAGACCAACATTCAACTAAAACATTTAAATGCTTCTCGAACAATGTGTAAAAAGATTTTTTGTGCTAACATTTTGAGAACATTATTAAAGATCAGAAAACTTTGAGTGAACATTCTATTAACGTTACTGGAAGAACGTTTGCTCATAACTTTGAGAACCTTGGCAGAACGTTAGCCTAAAGTTATATGAGAGCGTTCCTTCTTAGCTGGGTACTTTAATTCAACAAGGACACATTAAATTGATCAAAAGTTACAGTAAAGGCATAAAATGTTACATAAATGTTTCTTTTTTAAAAAAAACTTTCTATTCATCAAAGTATCCAAAAAAAAGGGTTCCACAAAAACATTAATCAGCACAACTTTTTTCAACATTGATTATAATAATAAATGTTTCTTGAGCACCAAATCATCATAATTAGAATGATTTCTGAAGGATCATGTGACACTGAAGACTGGTTAGTGACTAACCCTAACCCATCACTGAAATAAATTTAATTTTAAATATATTCCAATAGAAAAGTTGTTTTAAATTGGAATCGTATTTCACAATATTACTGTCTTACAGTACTTTTAATGAAATAATTGGTTTTCTGTAGGAGAAACGCACTCTGAGTCTGCTGGTGGAGAACTGCGGCCGTGTGCATTACGGTAAAGACATGGATGACCAGCGCAAAGGTACAATACCATGCCTTTAAGTTTTTGCCCATTAGTGCTTTCTGTTTTAACTTGTCACAGCCTCTCAAACATAACCATCACCATCAGAATCGAAATCTGTTTTCAGGTATCGTTGGGGACATTTTATTAAATCATACGCCACTTAGAGACTTCACAATATATAGCCTGGATATGACTCCTGGCTTTATTGTAAGGTGAGTAAAATCTCACATGACGTGACAGGCCATAAAAGATTCGGGATAAAAAACTTCAAGAATCATCAGTGCTTTTATTTCAGCTTGTACAGGGCACCTTGGAAGTCTGTCACTAACAAACCAAGCTTCCCAGGCTTTTTCCAGGGCAGGTTATTCGTGAATGGGTATCCCAGTGACACTTTCATGAAGCTGCCAGTGAGTGTAATGAATCTGGACAAGATTTGAACACTTAAATATGGTCAGAAATAATGTATTGAGTATTATGTCCCCATGCAGGGTTGGAGTAAGGGTGTAGTCTTCGTTAATGGGCAAAACATTGGACGGTACTGGGATGCTGGACCACAGCAAGCTCTGTTTCTACCAGGACCCTTCCTCAACAGTGGAATGAACCAAGTCAGTTTATATAAATTATGATTTATTTGGCTCCTATAGAACTGGTGGTTGTTTTTTGCTTTTGTCTGAAGAATTACTGCAAATATCAGTCTTGAATCCATGTAAAATTATTTAGAATCTTGAATAGAATGTTCAGAATTTGAGTGCTGGATTTAGGTTCACTGACGAGAAATAAACACAAAGTCTGAAAGATCTATTGTTCTTTTATTGTTTTCAACAGGTGATTGTGTTTGAAGAAGCAGAAGCGGATTTTAAAATCCAGTTTGAAGACTCTCCTGATCTGGGAATGATAGTTGACATTTAATCAAGACACAGACATCAAAGACATGAACACCATCAAAGTGCCTGAACAAAAAAAATAAAATTTGAATAAGTTATGTCACTGTTGGATTGTTAAACAATTATTAGAAACATTTTATTATTTACATGGGCTCTTTGCATTCCATGAACATTCAAAAGTTTTCATGAAAACGTGCAGTCTTGCTGGGAACTGTATCATTTCATCAAATGCTAAATTGTGTATACTTTTGTGTTCAAAAACAAAAAATTTAGTTGGACTGCCAGTTGAGTGTGTTTTTGATCTTCATTTGTTAGCAAGAAATAAGCTAGATTGTACTTTTTTTTTATTGTCTCTTTGGCTGTTTACCAGCTGACATTAGTTGTGTTAGTGCAGTTTGATTTGATTTCTTTTATGAAAACTTGAATATTACACTGGTCATTAAGGCAACAGGAAGTCAAGTTACTGATATTTCTTTCAACAATTTCCAGAGCCACCCATTTATTCCAGCATTATCATGTTTTCCCATTTTGCAAACACAGAGAATGATTTCATGCTGAAATGGTATTTATGGTTTGAGGTTTGTTTGAATTAAACTTCAACTAGCATTGTGCATTGAGCAGTTTAATTGAGGAAAGGGTGTGCTAATTAATAACTTTCTAAGCAATCAGACTTTTGCCTAAATTCCAGGGGGTGGGGGGGGGGGGGGAGAGAGACTCCAATTCGAGTCATATCTAGGGTCAGAATAGGACAGAGATTTGGGAGTGTGACTCTTATTTGAGAGACATTCAACAATCACCTTTCACAACCCTGTATCATAGCAATGCTTTAAACAAAAACTTAGAACATGTTTGCATCATTTCATTGCATTATATTATACATACTATTTCCATCCAAATTGTATCTGAACTCCCAAATCAAATCAGCATAGTAAAGCTGTGTTAGAATGGACGTTTTCCAGGGCATTTTTCTGTAAGTTGTTACAGACACATATGCACGCCCGCCATCTTGTAACAGTCAGTGTATCGTCATTCACAGTAAGAATCAATGATGCTACAACATTGCACAGCTTTTGGTTGTTAAACCGCTGAGATTTAAATTCCTGAAGAAATGGGATATCACAGGTGAGAATGTGTTTATTTGTGTTTTTATATGTATTAACTCAATATTACAGGTTTTTATACTATGGTAACATTTTAATGTTGTGTTAGCTCACGCCTTCATCTTGTAGTATTGTGTTTAGTAAAATCCTCTGCTGAAGTCTATTGCAGATATAAATATTCACACGCGCATTTAACTACGGTTACACTTAAGCCCTATTCGCACGGGATTAGTTTTATCTGGGGACCTCGTGTGATTTAGAAATTACCCCACCACATCTGAATTTCGTGTGGCGCATTCGCACGGGATAACCGAAGCCTGTGATTTTACTCAAATTTACTGACTTATCTCCCGGATGTGACGTCAATGAGACGTTCTGATGATTGGAAATGTATTTTCGTTAGCTCTAGCTGTATGATATATTATGACATGAACAGAATAAAGTTCCTTACCGCATGCTGCTGTACATGTCATTCATCTCCATCTAATCATTCTTTTTGTTTTTTGCTCTTCTGGTGATTTTCAGCTTTCTTTTTCTGCAAATTGTGTAGTTGTGTATAGCGATATGACCCAGCACCCAAAATACTATCAAAACACTCCAACACAGCCTCCATTCTTCGCGAAAGGTGGATAAAAAGACGCACATGAAACAAAAACCTTGAAAAAATGATATACGATCCCGCAAAATCACAGAGATGCCGATTCGCACGGGACTAATATTATCACAGGACCTCGGTGTTCGGCGAAATATAGTAGGTCATTTGCGGGGGAATTTTTACTTTACAAATTACAGACATGGCCGATTTGCACGGGATTAAGATCTCAGACAACCTCTGCAATTATTACAAATGACTAGAGGTCACCAGGTAATACTTATCCCGTGAGAATAGGGCTTTAGTCAACTTTCTCTTGAGTGTGCACGGACCTGTGTTTTGTCCACTCCAATATGGCGGATGGCTTCGGCCCATAAAAACAGCCACTAATGAGGAATCTATATTTATATCTCTATGGTTCCAACACAACAACTCTTGACTCTTTACAATTCCTTTAAATTCCTTTAGTGAGAGTGTCTTATTCAAATACTCAAGTCTGTCTTTGACAAGGAGACAGTTTAAATTCAGTGCACTGAATAATACTTTCTTGCTGTCGGTCCAGTTGACAGGATACTTCAGTATTAAAAAAAAAAAACAGCATGACAGCAATTCATCATACTTCCACGCTGGCATTTGTGAATCCCTTTTCCCCTTCATTCACAAGCAAGGGTCTTTCTGTCCGGGTGTGCCAAACCAGTACCTGAAACCAGAACCCATTTTTCTTTTACAAACCTTGTAATTTCCAAAAACAAAAAAGGAACTAAAATGATTTAGAAAGGTTATGAAGATTCAGGTTTAGGACTCGACTCACCTTTGTGCAGTTTGAGGCTTTGGGTTCCAGGTCACTGAGAGTGATCAGATCCTGTAGCAAACTACTCTCCTGGTATCCACCTTTTACCCCTTTTAACTTAAAGTAGGCTTGAGGTTTGCTGAAGATGAGCTGAAGGTTCAATGCAAACCCAGCCATGTCAATGGCAAAAGGTCGACGAGGGTCAAACACTGTCCTCCATCCGAACACTTTGCCTTGAGAGTTGATTTTGGGGGACTCGTACCGGAGACCTCCAACGAAGGCGACCGGCCAGACAGATGCTTTACGAGTCCAACGCATCTGCGGTGCAAAGAGGATGGAATAGGAAATATGAAAGAACACAAACTATGAACAGCAGATCAAATGTACTGTACCTCCTCAAACAGCTCCAAGCTGTAAGTGTTGTCATCATCTGCAAAATACACGACTCCTTTATGACCCGAGCTGGGGTTGATGTTCTGCCTCAGCCAGCGGAGAGCCAGGTTCCTCTGCATGGTGCCACGAGGAATGCGTGCATTTCTGGGCTCCTTCAGTGCTGTGAGATTCTGAGGCGTCTCTATGTTCAAGTGAGTGTAATTCAGTCCAGTGTTCTCCAGCAGTCTGGACACCAGCGCCGTCCTCTCCGCCGCGTCCTCCACCACTAGCCAGTGAAGGTTGGGGACGTGTAGGAGAGTGTTGGTGAGGCGGGTCAACTCTGCCTTCTGGACGGGCCTCCTGTAGGTTGGAGTTATTACGTGAAGAGTTGGCAATGCATCAGACCAGGGTGGAGAGCGGCTGTGGACGTACTTCATCTGGGTGACCTCAGTGACGTGCTTGTTTTTTATGATGCAGGGATCATGAAGTTTCAAGCTTCTTTGGTGAGCTTTACTGACCCCAGTTCTGTTATCTGTCCATCAAAAAGAGTTTATAGGGACGCACAATATATCAGTACCACATTATCAGCTGATGTATAAATTGGTGGATATTGGATATTGATTGTGCACTTTTTGTAATTTGTGGTGCATCCAGTGTCATGGTACACACAGAGTGCTTGAAGTTATTGCACAATAGTGATGTGGCATTTTATAACAAGCTTGTCAATAAAAAATAAAATAAAAAAAAAGGTGATCACTTTCATTCATTCACTCAATAAATGCACTAACCTATGTCAAGAAGTGAACACAATTAATTGAGTATTGTAAATTCCAGGTAGTGGTAAGCCTATTGACAAAAAAAAAAAAAAAAAGATTCAAAAAGTTATCGCGCTAATGTTTGTGAGCTAATCTGTTAAATGCGACCACATCGCTACAATCGCTACGCCAACGTCATCCACAAAGATACTACACCAGCATATGCCACACTCGCAACAGGATGAGCCACAACATCTACCTGTTTCTGCCATGGCACCAAAACGTAAGATTACACACCACTAAATTCCTAAATTAACTTGTAGCATTTAAAACGTAAGAATGATCTATATTTACCCATCGGAACTGGAGGCAACGGGTTGCCAGCACGCTGGACCCAAAGCGTGAGGAGTAAAGTCCATGTTAACACAACAAAAACGAGCTCCAGGAGGACGTCCTTTCTCGTCGGCATATTTTACTGTCAAAAAAAGTGTCTCCTTGGGGTTTGGTATTAATCGAATTTTGACCTCCTCCGATTATAAAAACAGGATAGCCTAATTGAAATAAAACGATTATTGTTCCGCATTCCGTTGAAAAAAATTCTGATGTTGAATTATAATTTAATTAGGTTAATTAACTCACCCAAAGGTAATAGCCTACCCATGGGATTAATCAGACGAAAAGTGCAGCTGCACAAAATGACGTGAACGTAAAGTTTAACTTAATCATGTTGCTAATCTTTCCCTATTAAAACTCGGGCAATTTTTAACTAAATTAGTTCACAATGTTCTACGGTAAAAGTGTTCTGATGCAACTTGCTATTGTTTCAGCAGTTCAGGTTTTCACAACTTTTAACAAGTTTAAATTAATTTAAAGAGCATATTGCAGGTAAAAAAATAAATCTAAATTAATATATAACCTTGTATGAAAATACCATATGAAAAGTTAATGCAGGATTTTAAATGTTTTAAAACGACATAAGGGCACTAATTTAGTAGATAAAGTGAGCGTTTCTTGGACTGCTCGTAAAAACGGCTTTTTTTTTCAAAATCGCGTCATTTTACGTCACGCTAGGGAGCCTCAGCCTCGCCAGTCAAAGCCCGTCTACGGAAAGCCTGGCCACTCCCTATTAAGTCCTATTGTACCGACTTTTTGGTTGTAGTTCCACCAGAGTTCCACTGGGGGCAATAGTCCGAGTGCAAAATGAATGGGAGTCTATGGGCTAAACGCCTAAATTTGTCTTTTTCACCCGATTGTCATTGAGAAATCTTAGATTTGAATGTAGGTTTTGCAAGTCCAACATAGGTTATAGGTCGAAAGTTGAATGAACGAGTACTTATGTCCTTTCGATTTCTTACAGGTTGAGTTGTTGTTGCCCATAACACGCTAGCATTCTGCTAATGGACGCTGATTGGTCAGTGAAGGACTGATTACGACCAGAGATACCGCTTGATGGCATCGTGGCATCATTGAAGC